AAGAAGAAATGATAGATATTTTCACAGGAGGATCCGTAGATACAGACAGGGTTATCAATAACGTTAACTCTAAATGCATCATAATTAAGTGAACTACAGATATGCCTTAAGTTTGTATGATGTGATAATGCTTAGTTTGCCCGAATCTTATACATACTGTCGCGGCAATTCATTGAAAAAAAATCATTATTAATGCAGAGTATTTTACAAGTACAATCCTGCAAGTACACAACGACAATGCTTCATATGACTTAAGACAAAGGTGTTTGATAGCTATATATCAAATAAGTAAATCTATATACATATATAATAAAGATTCGTCTATAATTTAGAAGTCATATAGGCTACTTCTCTCCTCTTGAACGTTTTTCACATCTTCAAAACTTGATTTGTGTTCCTCATTATATAAATGATTATTTATCACATCAATATGTATATACGGATGGATGGACGGACAGCCCGTATACAACAAAAATGTAAATTGTGTAGTTGGTCCTTCCATGTTCATTAATAGTTATACTCTGATTAAACTAGCTTTGTTACAATAATATTTAACATAAATTAACAAGGGAAAACGACTACATTCATATTTAATGATAACAAATTCAGGAAAAAATGTATTGATAATTCAGTAAAATGTCAGAGAGTTATCTCCCCTCCTCAAGCCTTGTTATGCTGATTGTATCTGATCACTTGATATACGTTACGGTGTGCCGTATTTAACAATACATGGTTAAGTCTTAAAATGTCATCAATCATGACCAAGTTTCAGTGTGAGAGGGATATCATGTACCAGGGGTTAGAGTAGTCCCTCCTCCTGAAACGATTTCCGTTTTTCACAACTTCAAAACTCCAATTTTTATTCTTTGTAAACGATTATTTTTTATGATGTTTACTCTAAATAAGCTGTTCAAAATTAAGGAATATATAATGTCACTACCTCGAACATATAAACTATCATAAAACATGTATAGAACATAATTTTTTTTCAGTGCTGTCGAATTGAATTATCAATCATCCATTCCAACAAGTAGATTTGCGACGCTTTACATATGATGTACTGAAACTTTGTACGAGACTTACGAACCTAGATAGGATGCTATGTCTGTATGTTATGTTGACGGACGTGAAAGACGTCATTTCCGTTGTAGATGAAGAATCAAGAAGAACAACTCTGTCACGATGTAACTATTGGATAAGAAGCTTAGGTTTTAGGTAGTATAGTGTAATCATTATACTACGTGTGAACACATGTAAGTAGAAAATGTGTATAGTATGTACCTTGCTCAAACTGTATAAATAAAGTGTATAAATATTTTTACCTGGAATCTGAAAACCAATTCGGATCAGGAAATGTAATTTCATTTAAAACTAAATAGTATGTGATATCATTGAAAAATATATGTTATTATGCACCTTTTGGTTTAATTTAGATCTATTGTTATAGAAGATAAAATGGAGCTGAGAAGTGGATGCTAGGAACTCTTTGACAAGCCGACTTCAATTTCAGTCAAAACTGGTGCAAAATTGGTTTATTGAAGAACTAGTTTACTATTTAATATGTTGTTAATTTTAGCATCACTTTTCTTCTTCAAAACCTTACGCTGTAATAACGATGTTCCCGACAGAATAGTCATTTTGGACTAAAATCATAGAGATATATGTGGTATATACATGTACCTTTGTTCGAGGTCATTCAATTTTAACAGTCGGACATCCTATAGATCTACAACACACTATAATTTTCAAAATCTATTCAGCGTAATTTCATCATTTGACTTTAATTGGCAGCAATAGCCCCCAAAGTACATATTAAAGATACATTGGTAGTTTCACGTGGCAGTTGTTCGCCTTTATGTTACGACTTTAAATATTGTAACAAAGGTCGTTATTAATTTCGGACTCCGCTAGGATTCGAATTCGGGACCTCTGGCTTATTAGTGTGACACTCAACCGATCGAGCTAAAGAGAAGTTCTCTGTAGCCGAGCGGTATTTTGTGGCCAGTATTTTACCAGTGTTACAGTATCATGATTCACATACGATATAATTCTGTCATATGAAATTCAAGTTAGAAGTAATACTCTCACGGCAAATGTTGCTGTACCATGGTTAGTGCGGCACTATTTTCATGTTTCCGTTTCTCATCGTCCCATTTAAGACAAACTTTCATATAAAGGAAGCGGATCTTCAATTGAGGTTGACTAGGTCAACTCTTTTGTTTTTTTTACTAATCCAACAACAGAATTACATATAAAACAATATAAGATTGCTTAAAGTCGGTTCATGTGTATAATGGGTGTACAAAAAGACATCTTGAATTGGATTACGTATCTGAAGATGTATTTCAACAGGAAGCCATTTTTTATTATTTTGAGCTACAATTTCTCTCTCAAATTGACATGCTGTAGTCATGCTCCACTGACTAAGTTATTGCGACTCCTTAAATCTAGACTACAGATGTTTACGTAGTTTTCGCTCGTTTAAAGGACGAGAAAATATTTATAAAAGATCGAAATACGTATCATATGTATGTGTTAAATTGTTGAATATTGAATAAAATATCAATATAAAATAAAGGACGAGGGACAACCATTGAAGATAAATAAATTACAAGGAAAGGTTCATTGGGCGAAGGGAGATAACTCTTATACATTTTTATTCTAGATGTCAATTGCACACTACAATTGACGTCACCGTAATGATTATATGTAAAAGATCTTTTATAGCCAAGTGATAGATAGCGCCACATAATCATATTCATTTAGCTTGAATTTCTTGTAACATTGTTTTTAATAATTTTATTTACAGGATCACCCAATTAAAAACACAATCAATCCGGATATTTTAAATCTAAAAAAATTCCTTTAAGGACGGCACTCCCATAGCTGTAAAATGTGTGATTTTTGGATGAACGTAATGCATTATAACAAGTGATGAAAGGTAACGAACACAATCAAATATTTTGTCGATAGATAAACTTTGTCGATATTTTAAATCATGTTTCGCGTGGGATTTATTTTACGCGAGGAAAGTCAATTGGAATTCAAAATCCCTAGAGATTATTTGTACATCAAAATTCTTGCTGACATCCATGCTGCTCACTAATATCGGAGTCTGTATATCTAATGGCCCATCACTCGCGAATTTAAAGTCATTTCTAGAACACCGTTCGCGAAACTGTCTATTCTCGAATATGTCTGAAGAGGTACGTTCGCGAAATAAAGTATTCGCGAAATCTAAGTGATTTGCAGTATATTAAAGAAAATTGCCGATATATAAAATGTTTTCGATAAATCTAAGATTTTGTCGATATAAAGAATGTAGGCTTCGGATAAGATGAACATCACAATGACGCTGAAATTAGGGAAAGATTCCCATCACTTTATTTTCAAAAATATTATTATTTGATATCACACAATGTCAGATGCATTGCAACCGTTTAAGTGGTAAAAAAATCTCAATTTACAATTAAGATATTTAAGTACTTTATTAAAATTTAGATTTTCATCGTAGATGTTCATAAAATAGATCACAAAAGAGACAAAGAAATAGTACAGTTCACGTTATAGATATACAGATAAGTTCTATATTAATATTTTCGTCGAGTGAAAAATATCTCGCATGATATATAAAAGGATTAATCAGAATCAAACGGTTCCATAGAATATGAAAATGTATAACATATAAAGACTCCTTAATGCACATGTTTCCTTATTTCCAACTCATTTCTTAATTATGATTTTAAAAACTCCCAAACGTTAAAACAGTTCATCCCTACCTCGCCGTAAAACCGGTACATTCATAACTACCATACGTATTGTGCTAATAAATTTGAAGTACTTCCCGTTGAAATTGAGACTATGTATTGCAAAATCATCGATGCATGTACAATCAATACAGTATGAACATATCATTTCTAGATATCAACTTATTTACAGAACGAATAATATTTTATCAACTGTATCTTAATTATAACACATCTTTTATAAAATATCAAAATAGACAAAATTGAATACCCTTAGACTAGTGGATATTTCTTTAGATTACCATTTATCTATAAACTCAAGTGCAATATTTGTTTTCGGAAACCGCAAAATTGAGCCCCGCGAAATTATACGATTGTAACAGAATATTAACATGAAACGATAAAGAAACACTACTTCTTTAATTGTAAAATATCTTGTATTGAATATACATAGCAGTATAAAAAGTAAGAGGAATATTAAAACACCTTACTTATTCCCCCAATAAATGATAAAAATCTGTCGTTCGTGACAAAAAGCTTATCCACATCCGGTGCGCCTAAATTACCAGTATATCGTGACTGTTCAAACAAGCATCGTTTTCTGTCAATTATCAAGACGCGTGATCGTCAATACATTTAAAATCAATAATTGCTTTTACAGCTAAAAAGATTTTAAAAAAGTTATCATATTGCAAAAGAAATATAACTGAAATGATTATATCTATGTGTTTATAGAATGAGGTCACAGAGGATCGTGTATAACACGATATTATAATCTCCATTTTTATATTACATACCGTCAGCTTTAAGTAACAGTAACACAAGACAGAAGTATTGCTTTGCAGACAATATTTGTGTATTTACATTAATCTAATAATCAGATATTACGTTTGCTGACTCGACATTAGAAATCAGCGCATTTCAGAACAAAGACAATGATTTTATAATCATGGATATTTGTACGTGTTTTATCTGACAAATGATAAAGATCATGAGCAAACACGTATGAATACACCTGTTGGGTGATGCTGTTAGTGATGTCTGTTCCGCATTTTAACTAGATTTAAATTAAATGTTTCTTAATTGTTCTGGTCAATCTTTATTCAGATAATGACAAAAATTCAAAATCGTAATGTTACACATGATACGCAATATATCTTGAATTATTATCAGAGCATATATCTGTTATTATTATATATCATGTGAAGTATACACAATAGTTAATATGACAAAAAAAGGATCGGAAACATGTTATTAAACGATCATGGCAAGAGCGATAAAATGTGATACCAGTTCTCGTAATTCAAAGGAACTCATTGGATCTTTCGACCTGTCTCGTTGCGTTGTTGCTTTAGGCGAAGACGTAGTTGGTTTGAAATCTGTGGTCGTGGTGGTTGTAGCTGTCGGTGTAGTGGTAGCTGTCGGTGTTGTTGTGGTAGTTGTCGGCGTTGTTGTAGTTGTTGGTGTTGTAGTTGTCGTTGTCGGTGTTGTAGTGGTTGTTGTCGGTGTTGTAGTGGTTGTTGTCGGTGTGGTAGTGGTTGTTGTCGGTGTTGTAGTGGTTGTTGTCGGTATTGTAGTGGTTGTTGTCGGTGTTGTAGTGGTTGTTGTCGGTGTGGTAGTGGTTGTTGTCGGTGTTGTTGTGGTAGTTGTCGGTGTTGTAGTTGTTGGTGTTGTAGTGGTGGTTGTTGGTGTTGTAGTTGTCGTTGTCGGTGTTGTAGTGGTTGTTGTCGGTGTTGTAGTGGTTGTTGTCGGTGTTGTTGTGGTGGTTGTCGGCGTTGTAGTGGTAGTTGTCGGTGTTGTAGTGGTAGTTGTTGGTGTTGTAGATGTCGTTGTCGGTGTTGTAGTGGTTGTTGTCGGTGTGGTAGTGGTTGCTGTCGGTGTTGTTGTTGTCGTTGTCGTTGTCGGTGTTGTAGTGGTAGTTGTTGGGGTTGTTGTTGTAGTTGTCGGTGTTGTAGTGGTAGTTGTCGGTGTTGTAGTTGTCGTTGTCGGTGTTGTTGTGGTGGTTGTCGGTGTTGTTGTGGTGGTTGTCGGTGTTGTAGTGGTTGTTGTCGGTGTTGTTGTGGTAGTTGTCGGTGTTGTTGTGGTAGTTGTCGGTGTTGTAGTGGTAGTTGTCGGTGTTGTTGTTGTCGTTGTCGGTGTTGTAGTTGTCGTTGTCGGTGTTGTTGTGGTGGTTGTCGGTGTTGTTGTGGTAGTTGTCGGCGTGGTAGTGGTCGTTGTTGGTGTGGTAGTGGTAGTTGTCGGCGTGGTAGTGGTCGTTGTTGGTGTGGTAGTGGTAGTTGTCGGTGTGGTAGTGGTAGTTGTTGGTGTTGTTGTGGTAGTTGTCGGTGTTGTAGTTGTCGTTGTCGTTGTAGTAGTTGTCGTTGACTCAAGACAAGTTGTACAGCAGGTCCCCGCACGGATGTTGTGACTGTATCTAGAACATTGAGTTGCCTGACAGCCGTAGGTAAGGTCATCTCCGAGTGGACAAATTTCTGAAGATTGAATACATTGGTTTAAATTGACGTTCTCCGAAAATTGGACAATGCCTGATCACCATTTTATATGATATAACAGTAACAAGATATGTGTATAGTGTATATAAAACACTTTGCCACTAGTTGCAACAAAATCCTGAAGTGGGACATTAAATCTGTACTTTGTAAGGCATGTACTCATTACATGTACACTTTGTGCTTCAATGAGCGATAGTTAAGGCCAATGGTTAAGTTTTTTTCAATTTTTGATACCACAAGAAAGGTCCTGTCACAAAGAACACACATGTCAAATATGAAAGCCATATTTCTTATGAGACAAGAGAAATGGCCAATGTCGTGTTTTTTCAAAGTAGGTCAAAGGTCACGGTCTAGGTCACATAGTGAACAAATAAGTATTGTCAAAAGGAACACACATGCCTCTTATGGTGCAATAAGTATGGGCAAGGTTAAAGTTGACAACAGACAGACAGCACAAAATAAATATGTATATTTCAGTTCTTTCGATCAGGGAACAAAAACATTAGCGCCGTGAAACTAAACAAAATATGTTTGTGACTCACCTGACCTTGAAACAGACTGTTGGGAACTCACGCAGCGTCCCTTTTCACACCACTGTAATGTGTAATATGCTATGTTATCAGATATCACGTTTATCAATATCAGAATGGAAGCCAGAGATAGGCCGGAATGGGTCAACATTTAACAAGAATAAATGATATATTTCTGAAATTATTACAACTCTTGATACGAATGTTAGCATTTGAAATAAAGACAGAAAGAAAATACAAATATAGTTACTTTGTAACAAATTTCAATTAAGCACCCAAATGTTTTACTTTTTAATGTAAGTATATTGATACAAAAATTAAGAAAACCAACTGCCAAAAGGCCAATGAGGAAGTGAAACCTCCAATTGATTTATACATAGCGTTACAAAGCTACATACCAATTTCCATCTTCGGCATGGTTTCACCGGTAGGGTAGTTCATTAGTAATTTCTAATTTCATATGTTAATCCTTTTGATTATCATTATTTTTATTTATATTTTTCGTTACTTAACAATTAAGCAAAGATACTCAGCAATAATATTCTTTTTGAAAAAAACAACAACATGTAGGTAAAAAATAAATTGATGAAGATGTTTCGTTTCCTTGTCGACAATGAAACTTTCCAACTGTCGTCGACAACCTATCAATCTGCATCTGCCAAAAGGTTAGAATGCTCCAGCTATTGCTCCATTTCCAAGCTATGTATGATGTAGATGCGGACACCATCCATTCCGATAAACTTACTTTCATGTATCCACACGGTGTTCCATCATAGGCCTGACGACGATTGATACAAGTGTTTGTGCCCACACGTCGACACTCCAACTGGTAACAAATTGTACCCCATTTCAATGGGTAGTTAATATAGCTCTCCTGTAATTCAAATAAAAATAACCAAAGATAATACATTGTTAAGACTTTGGTAGTTGGTTTAAAGGTCAACCATTGTCACAAATGTCAGAAATTAACATAATTAAAGACACATTGCATTTTACCTGGTTGAAAAATATATTTCAAATTACATATAATAACTACTTAATTTCTGTACGGTAACTCCTTCAGTATAAACTACTAATTTGTCCTTTTTTGGTGTAATATTTTGTGTTTAGTTATAAGTAATTCTGTTTGTGAATTATTGTAGAATTTTTACAGTGCGAGTTTTTCAAAGTAATTCGAATTGCCATTTAACAAATACAGTTTTCCAAGACTTGGCCTTTGTTAGGATGTTGTTATCTGTTCATTTCATTCATTGATGCCTTCTTTTCGTATCGGTCATGATTGTCAACGTTTTCTTTCTTATCATTTTCAAAAAGAATATTTCATTATGCTTCTTGAATTAACAAAGATAAAATGAAATAAAAAAATTCTCTATATATAAATGTTTGAAAATATCAAAAGTGCCATATTGAAACGATGAGTATTATTTACTCCAAATATGGCTGCATTAAATCATGGATCATCTATCTACTTACTCTACATATGACCCAGTTCTGATCTGGAAGGGTGTGACATTGCTGATCCACGGGATATACATTTCCTGGTTTCTCAGTTAGAGTAACCATACCCAGAATGTCAGGCACGTTTGATAGGCAGTCACTGTAAATGTAATGTTTTATTTATCATTCAGAAATTTGTAAAATTGACAGGTTATTCAATCCTGAAGTTTACACATTTTCGTTATTTTTATCCTCTAGTTTAACACTGTCAAAATAAATATGACAGAAGGATTTACAAATCCGTAATTCTATGTCAACATCAGTGGAGTGAAATGTTCATAATATAAAACAAAAAACAATGGCTTTTAAGTGGAATGAAAAACTTATAATAAAAAAGGCATGTTTCAATGTGGCATAATTTACCAATGTTATTATGTTCTAAATGTGAGAGATGGATTATTAACGATGAACATACAAAATGATGTCAGAACGTCGATCTTCATATCAATGTTAAATTTCTGCAGTTTCTTGACGGTGGAAATGTAAAAATTACAATAGATATGATTTCCACTTAATGGAACTTATCAAATCAAAACCATGTACACACCTTCCCAATCTGCTGAGGTATGTACCTATCTGTAATCTCGAACAGGACGAGAACTGATAGGGATTCGATGCAAGAATTTCGTTAACGGCCGGAAGACGAGGCGCCATAAGATAGTGAAGAGCACTTGAACAACTTCCGCCGTTGCTGGCATCATGGGTAGCACCAAGACTGCAAAGATCACACGAAGATAATGTAGGAATGGATAAAGGAACAGATGAAACATGTAGCAACAGAATGTCATTTTAACTGTTTCATTCAAATAAGTAAAATATATTTAAAATTTCTCATGGACAAATGCAGTGTAATACATATAAACAAGAGGGTCACCATCCCATCGATCAATGATGTTGGTATACCAACAAAATAAATAAACAAATTTCAGATTATTAATAGCGTTATGCTAAGTGATCAATGGGGATAGATGCTACACATTTTGATATTTTCGAAGGATGAAAAAACTAGAAATTTCATGCACTGAAATAAAAACAATAAAGAAAACCAGTGTATCATGGATGTCTTCACGGAAAAATTAAATATTTTTCTTAGTTGTTATTTGTCACGTTCTATTTTATATTAACACCTTGATGAATCAAGTTATTAATCAGTTTTCTAAACGTTACTCTTAACTAAACGAATATTTATCTGACATTGTCTTAATGACAATTTTGTATATAAAAGGCACCTCCTATATAGTTAATGGTGAGTGAATTCAGATGTCTTTAAACATATAAAGATACACGTCAGGGGTATGATAAATATGTAGCAGTTTTATTGTATTTCCTATTATAAATTACCTGTGTCCAAGTTCATGAGCAGATATGTGAATAGATAAAGCATTATATGGTTCCTGGTTGACGGAAGCAGAAAACGACATACACACTCGGCTTAGGTAGGAAATACCTATAAATAAATCCAACAATAAACAACCGGCATAATATCAAAATTTTGATTCCAACTCAAATTCAATGAAACGAGAACAAAATACTGACAGAAGAAAGATTCACACAGCGACGGTAAAAACAGAAGATATAAGACCATGTGTTTTGGAAAAGTCAGCGTCTTCTGCTTTATCGACCTCATCTGCCTTGTAAGATATTGGCCAATACAAATAAATTATCATACATTTTTTTTAGTAAAACCGTGAAAATTTCAATCAACGAACAAATTCCTATCACCTGAATTAGCCAATAAAATTACTGGTGATTTTACGTTTTAACAATAAAAATGTTCAATCTTTAGATGTTACATGTTACTTACCTATGGTTGAAGTGTCTTGAGCAGAGAGAGAAAGGTCGAGTCTGTCCAAAAATAACAATTTAAATCATTAAATTACTTTGCTCATTAACACGCACTACTTTGATGTGTATACTAACGAGATATGCATTTTATATAACTACACTTTCGTAAAGACGCCACTGATTCTTAACAAGGAACTGGATATACTCAATATGTTTTTTCACTTAACTTTGTCTCGTCTCGTACAGGAAATGATACAGTAGTTTTATTTAATACTTCGACCAAGAGCAATTTTATTATGTCAATATAACAGTAGTTTATAAAGAAAGTTATCGCATGATGATTTCAACAAACATATACTTAAACAAACTAATATCGACTTAAACAAACTAATATCGACTTAAACAAACTAATATCGACTTAAACGTTTGTAAATGATCTTATAACTGGTTAGGGTGACATTATAATGCATGACATAGACCGAATGTCAAAGACGGATTAATTTTATTAAGTTCTAATCACAAATTAATTATCTCGTCAGGAATTGAAATAATTAATTATTATCGTTAGGTATTAAAGCAAATATATAGATCAACTCTCTAGATAGTCTGTCAATAGCGAATTACAAACAAAACGTGTTTTCGACTTTTACTAACTACTGTTCTCATCGCAAAACAGAAAGCACACGACAATGAAATAGCCACAGTATTAAAGCAGTATTTACCCAGTAAACAAAGCTGCGTGATCATGTACAGGAAGTGACGCTCCTTGTGAGTTGATCCATTTTGCAAAATCTTCCAGACACTTCCCATCATACACTGCTACTCCATTAATTTTATTGTTCTCGGTCCAGGGAGATTCCGACCTGTCCTATTGTAGTAGTTAATGCAATATTAAATTAAGTTTAAATTAGATTGAAATTCCATATGAAATACAAGATTTACTAATACTCCAATGCCCTGAAAAGTATGCGATGGGCTTCTATAATGGTGTTCAGTAAGATAGAAACCAGCTACTACCAGGATATTTCGCCTGGAAATGACCCAGGTTTTTTCAGGGGAATTAATCCGAAAAACGGTATACAAATCGCGAAGAGAAAACAAGTATTTAGCAACACACATATTAGACACATATATACATTAAGGTAATACAGCGCTCTTTGTAATAAAATTAGAAATAGGTAGTGTAGAGACAAATAATGAATTCAGCTGCATCGCACAGGTTCTTGTTGGAGTCTGAGGAAAATCAAATGTGGTCGAAAGCATAGATATGGAGATGTACCTCTGTAAGTCAATCAATATCATAAATTTCCATTGTCTGAGAACATTTGTTTATTATAAACCGCTGATTATTTATAACAAGAACTTTTCTAAAAATAATTGCCCTTTATCAGCATACCCTATAAATATGTTTAAGGTACCTACATGTCATTTGAGAAGATTTATTTACACAATAATTATAGGTGAAATATACACGTGTTCTTTTGTAAAAGTACAAAATGTTTCACATACAATTTCCTGTTTCGGTGTTATGTTTTGGGTTTATGCCTCTAATCAGTGTTCTTTAAGCGTCAAAATATATTATAAATCATACGCATAACACATGTTGAAGAGGCACTTTTGGCCCGATTTACATCCAAATTACAAACATTATACTTACAGTTGCAATGACGAACCCCGCTAAGGTAACTCTCAGATCACCCTGTGATGTCTGGGCCGACTGGAATCTCACGTCTATCTAGTAAGTATGATATGAATCGTTCAACATAAAGTTTCTTTTATAATAATCCACGTGAATTTCTTTATTGGTTTGGTAATACATATTTACCTAAAGACGAAACGATCTCAAAACCAATTAAACATATTTTATAAAAAATAATGTAAAATTATTAAAAGTCATTTGATTAAATGAGCAAATTAAAAGGAGGGGGAAGTTCTAGAGATGTTTTTTGTATGATTTTGAATTTGTAACAAGAACTGTGATTTTCAACTGATAAAACAACCTTCAATTCAAAGTTTGTTACAAACAGAAATTAATTAATCTGCATCTCCAAGTTATCTCTGATTTAGATAACCCAAGTCTGAACACTTAAATATGCAAACAGACAAACATTCAATAATATTTTAAAACATTTATTCATGTCACGCAAAAGATTGTCAAACAGTTAAATCCCTGAGCCTTCTGAATGACAGCTCAGATTAGACTTTCCAAATGTGATCGATCTGAATATTAAATATTGATCTGTACTACCTTGAACTGACAATATCTGGCTTTTGGTTAGATGCACCTATTCTGTTGCTGAATTCATTAAGGCTATATACTAAGCATTGCCAGGATATTTTTGTTTGACAGTATGGTTTTTTTATAAAAGTTATAATATCTCGCATTACAAGGGTATACCTACCCCATTAGTAACAAACAGGTAATATTGGACAAGTGCGTTCACGGCGTTATTGTAACGGTCGTCTTCTGTAGTACCAGCAGCAACTTGATGCCATCTGGTACGATAAAATAAAAGATTACTGTCATATTGGAATTTGTTCAGTTTAAGACAAGAGAGACCATGTCATATCACTAATATTAATGTTTATTAGTTTCCCTTTGAATAACATTATATATCTTATGACAAATATTAAGTAGGACTGAAAATATCGATATCATACAAAAACCGTTATTAAATTTCCTTATTATTACAGTCATCATGTGATATATATACTTATATTTTAAGGCGGTTATTGGGCATTACACTTGGCAACAGTCGGATCTTTTTTATATTAACGCTAGATGCCTTTGTTTTGTTTTGTTTTCTACTTCATATCGATGACAATAATAATATAATGTATTGCAGTCCACGAGATGTGCCGTAATCTGCACGTCGCATTTTAACTGATATGAATATTGTGCCAAATGCAAAATATACATATGTACCCGATATTCTGTTAATTCTACTGTGTCTAATTTCAAATTTGTATTGAAAGTTATTGTTTACTTGTGTGTGTCTCTTTTACTTCAAGTCGTTACAAAAAAACGACACAAAACAGTTGAACCATCAAAACAACATCGGCAGTAAACCTCTCGTAAAACACGAGATTTGACGAGACACGAACAGTTTAAAACATACTTGTAGAAGTTAGCGTAGTCGAGCACGACCAAATACTCTACGTATTTCTTTGGTAACTGTCGCCTGTCTCTGGGCTTCCGATTATCTGTAAAGGAAAAACATTATCAAAATTATCATTTTCAGATTTAAAACAATTTGAATTGTTTCGACTTGATGATAGTCAGTAATGATTGATCAAACTCCAACTTTCTGAAGTATCGGAAAGGAAGCCATTTATAATTCATTTAGTTTGACTGTGTCAATAATAATGATAACTTAAAATATCATTTACTCATTCTGATCGTTGCCTGACACACTTACATAAGTTGCTCTCTTAGATCTAACGTTGTGATCCAATCAAAGACACACTTACCCCATGTGGATTGCCTTTTCTTTCGATTATGAGGAAACTAAAAATACAAAATAAAAAAATGACGATAGAGTTTAATTCTGTTGGTTCTGTCATATCTAGTACTTAATTGGCACAGAACGGTGATATTATCTTCTGTTTTGTTTGGTACGATCTTTCAACATTATTTTATCTGCTGAATAAAATCATTGTGATCGACTAAAACTGATGTAAAAAAAAATTTCTCAGCATAGTCACATTATTTTAATAACTACTGATCTTACCGATTCGAGATCCACCATTGGTATGGAATATTGTCCTTCTCCCAGTCGTAGAATAGGGAATGGATCAAGAGGGTCATCGGAGGATACATTCTGGTCGTCTGGAAGGTAAAAACACAAGATAATGCATAAACATCATATCATCTATTCTAATCAGACATATATCCAATTTCTCTACATAACACTAACGTCATATACTCTTAAATTATTTCAGTTAATGATTTTTCAAAAACTTTGTTCTTGGAAAAAAAACTTAAATGTCAAATGATTACGTTGACTTTTCGGTATTCGCTTGTTGTTTATTGTGTCCTTTAGTCTACATCAATGGAAAATTGGCCTATTGCACAAATACATTGTTAGTTTACACCAAGAAAATATTACATCTCATTTTGATGGCCCTGATAATTTGTACAAAGCGTGAAATCTAATATATAAACAAGAAAGCCGACTTAAATATTGCGCGTTTGAAAAAAATTCCCCGCGATTTAGTTTATTACTACGACTGTCGTCATGTTCAAAGTATCAGAGCCTTTAGATGTATATGAGAATGTGTTACTTCCAACAGAGATAACGATGATAATTTTTTTATCTAAATGTATAATGCTTTTACGATTAAATCAAATTGTGGTTTCGGTAAGCTAGTATTGGTCAATAGAAATATATTGTCGGGGGTGATACAAATCCCGTATCAACCTGACTATCCTCCGATATTCCCGTAGAAAACGAAAACATTGATCACAATCAAACAAACTAAATCTAAACGATGTGACTTACTAATTCTAAAAGGGGCCAACAAAGAAAACACCGACTTGAAATCAAGATATAAATCCAAAGTTAAGATTCTATCAACGAAGGCAAACTGAACAAAGCTAAGACTGATACAGAGGCCATTGAAATGGTATATGGAAGGTATAACCCTGGTGTTCAAGAAAGGTAACCATGTTTTATTAATGACATCGTCCATGTAAATATTGTCAGGTAAGATATACCACTTGTTAAAAATATACTGTGGCACTGTATAAAAGCTTATAACTGTATAAAAATTTTAAGAAATGAAGAAAAACAAATAAATAAATAAATAAAAAATAAAACAACAATGCAAAATCCAATAAATTCTTTCAGAACTGTATGTAGTTGTATACATTTCTTATTGATTTTTAATCGGTATCTATAATTTATTTGATGTTCTGACTCCGATTCAAAATTAACCTTTTCTTGTTTTGTATTATCCCTTTTTTCAGTCATCAATAAATTTTATTTAAAAGTTCACGAATTTTTTCTCTTTAGTTATTTGCCAGGAACATCGTGTATGAGCAAAAAAACAGTGGTATGAATATTCAATAAGCTTTACCTTGTATCACAATCATGTCGTTGAAGAATGAACCAAGCTGTATATCTGGGTTCAATACGGTCACCTTGTGGTCAGCTACCAGCTGGTCAGCGTCCGGAGGCAATGTGGTGGTCGCTTGTGTGGTTGGTAAAGTCTCCACGGTATGGAGGGGCACCCCAGACCGCTTCCGCCGACTGGTTGTAGAAAGCGGTTCTATGGCATACCAATCGGATCCGTGTTTGTAGCTCGCGTGCTGTATAACACAGGCATGAGAAACAAATTATTGCATTCGTTCTTAATTATTTCAAAATTGATATTTTTCAAATACACTGTCATGGTCTAATCATAATCTCGTGCAAAATATGATAAGAGAAATCTTTAAGAACGACACTGTAGCATTCAAGTATTTGATATCGGTGAAATGAAGGAGATCTTTATATAAGAATCTTGATTTAGCTTAGGTCAGTGATAAACTGTGTTGTAATTATATGGTGTAGGGTGCTGATCATTTAGGCCTTAAATCTTGAAGCATTGTATCATGGTATTTAAATCGATTTTTAGATCGATGTCGTAATGTTTCTTGTTGTTGAGTTGTGTCATTCATAGAGGTATACATTTCCATGTCAAAACAGACCAGTGGTTTTAAGTACATCTCAATTAATTTTGTGGTTTCCTGTATATAAAAATTAATTTCCTACTTCTTCCGAAAACGTAACGGCAATTTGGTTGTAATTATGACGTCATAATTGTCGAGCAATGTGTTGTTAAATTTCACTCTCGTCTAGCAGCATCATATGCAAATTTAGCTGATTCGATTCATTTTTTTTTTTTTTGCAGTTGTTTCATGCTAGTCTTTTAAGTATTAAGATGACAGAAATATATTGTTGCCCTTTTGTGATACATATCTTTAATGACATATAATACATATATTTTAAACAGGATTTTTTTATCGTCACTCGATCTATTTTATCGTAGATTAAAACAAGCGATGGTGAGAGTATAGAAGATGGTAATACGACCAGTAATACAGAATTCAACAGGATGACTGATAAACTCACCAGCTCGAATTTACTGACATCATCGAAAGGGAATCGAACCAGGGCCGAGGCACCCATTCCCAATCCCTGGTAGAGCGCAAAGTTTCTCTGTGAAACGTAAAAATTAATAATCAAAAATGGGATAAGTCAAGACAATACTTTATAAAGTTAAGTACATTGCAATTTGTGTAATGGGCTCGTCCTGACAAAATAGATGAACACAATCGATAATATACAAGAATTTACTAAGTTGGTTATCTATTCCCAATTCAATTCAAATCAAATCAATTTAATTCAATTCAATTCATTGTTAATAAGAGAAGTACCGCGTCCACTGACAAAAATAATTCATTTCAACGAGACTCCCATTTTTACTTTCTGCTTTGTAACTACACTGAATTGTTTTAAAAAAATAAAGGAAACTTATTACTGCGTTTGATCTACTATACCAGCTAATGGAAATATGTATGATTTAACTTGAGGTGATATGCTATTTTAAATGTTTTCCCCCTTTTTATTCATTTATATATTCCAAAGTAAACTTGTCAACAGTTGATTACCTGTATGTCCGGTTTAGTGTCATAAATTGGTCGAAGTTTGTCTATTCTCATTATGGGCGGCACGCTTGCCATGGTATTCCTCTCGAGGTCCATAATGACGTCCTTATTATTGAGCCGGAACCGGAAGGAGAGTGTCTGAGGAAAGAGGTCCGAAGACCGCTTTTGTTTTCCATGTTCGTCTTTTCCCCCGTTGTTCGGAAATATTAATTTGATTTGTACTATTTCTGTGGAAATTGAAATAGCAGTGAAAATCAGTGGAAGATTAAGAACTACTTGTTACAAATCATACATAAACCGTTGTCATTTCCGAGAACAGACATGTCTTAGTAATAATTACGCTGGCGGAATGGCGGCAGAGACATTTACTAGTATTTCATTTTATGTATATTTATATAATATTCATGTACATAGTCTATTGAGCGTAACGGAAAAGTATGTCATTATTAAGGGTCTAAATCTTCTCACAGTGATAAAAATAAAAGTAAAGTAAGACACACCTGAATTACCATGCTATTTTTACATAGTTTCGTATCTATGGAAAAGTCACCCCTAATTTTCAGGAACTAAATTTTAAAGTTAAAGAAATAATCTTCAATTCCCGGGAACAATTGTTTCGTATTCATATAATCGCCGGAGGTTCCTTGGGATTCTACCACCACTACAGTAACAATTAAAGCAGGCTCTCTTGGTATTTTTAGTATTATTTCAAATGTATATACTGCATATATTAGTTTGGGAAAATTAAGAAGGACATCTTATAGGAATTTCGAACAAAACATTTCGCTTTGATTAAAAGAAAAGATTGCATCTTACGAGATTTGGCTTCTGAAATAATTTTTAATAGTATTAAGTGCGATTTAGTAAATGAAATAATAAAATTTGCTCCTGGTTATCTACGCCTTGTGCTTACTGTCAGAATGACACATAATACTGTGCAGAAAGGGGTAGGGAGATATTCAGATACTTGTAACATAGTGACCGGAGCTGCCCAAGGGAACACATGTGTTCTATTGTTTAAGACCGAATTTAACGTCATATCGTCAATTTACGCATTTATAGGTAATTTATGAGGTCATACTGACACGCTATTGACTTTGAAGTCCAGGTAAAATTCTGATTTAAATATCTGTTTTATCATAAACGTAAGTGCTTTTTCACGTACAAACACGTATATCCACAAGAGATAAGCGTATATTTCTTTTTGTATATTTTTATATCTTACTTTTATATGTATTAGAGTTAAGGGTGTATGCTACCTTACGCATTATATCTGTAATTTGTGTTAGAGTTAAGGTTATATGTTACCTTACACATTACATGTGATTTGTGTTAGAGTTAAGGTTCTATGCTACCTTACATTATACCTGTGATTAATGTTAGAGTTAAGGATATATGCTACTTTACACAATATACCCGTGATTTGTGTTAGAGTTGAGGTTATATGCTACCTTACACAGTATGCCTGTGATTTGTGTTAGAGATAAGGTTTTATGTTACCTTGCACATTATACCTGTGATTAATGTTAGAGTTAAGGATATATGCTACCTTACACATTATACCTGTGATTAATGTTAGAGTTAAGGATATATGCTACTTTACACAATATACCCGTGATTTGTGTTAAAGTTAAGGTTACATGTTACCTTACACATTACATGTGATTTGTGTTAGAGTTAAGGATATATGCTACCTTAAACATTATACGTGTGATTTGTTTAAGAGTTCAGGATATGTGGTCTCATGACTTCACACATTTGTTTTAGAGTTAAACTCACAATATTACGTTCCCTTACGCATTCTGCTGGTGATTCGCGTTAAAGGTAAGATTATATGATCTGCCACATATACTTCACACATTACTTCTGCAATTTGTATAAGAGTAAGGTGATGATATACCTTACCCACAATACCTGTAGTTTGTGTTACAGTTTATGTTATATGGTACCTTACACATTATGGTAGTGATGTGGTAAAGTTAAGGCTATATGCTACCTTACGCGTGTGATTTGTGTTACGGTTAAGGCTGTATGTTATCTTACACATTATACCCGTGATTTGTGTTATATAAGGACATATGCTACGTATACCTTACACATTGTAGCTGCTATTTGTGCGAGAATTTATATTATATGCTACCCTACACGTTATACCTGTGATATGTGTTAGAGTTAAGGTTATATGCTACCTTACACACTATACCTGTGATTTGTGCTAGGTTTAAGGTAATATGCTTCCTATATACCTGCAGTTTATATTTTTGTGTAAGAGTTAAGGTTATATGCAACCTTACATATTATACAAATATATAACAGTACTGTGGTTTTTGATATAGTTTTACATGTGATTCAAAATAAGGTAAATTCTCGCCTTAGATTCGGGAGCAAAGATATATTGAATTTGGTGCCAATAATCCAAATATAAGGTCCAGACCCCTGACTTTCGCTCGGGTAATGGTACACTGGTTTCCCATTTAAAAAATCGGGTTAGGTCATAATTTAGTATGTAAGTTAATTTGTCAGTCATAAAGTAAATTTAGTGAATACCAAATCAAGTTTCCCTATATAAGTATCAGTTCAGGATATCTGGGTGATCAGGTGGCGCAGTGGTTACGCACTCGTTTATACCTACATGTGCGGGATTCGATTCTCGGAACGCATGTGAAAAGAAAAGAGGTCATCTGCGCGGGGTTTTCCCGGGTTTCCTCCCACAATAAGATCCCACGAACTCTTCCATACGGGTCAACAAGAGTGATTAATATAAGTTGGAATAAACGTGTTTCGTTGTAAAATATAAATCAAGTTTGATTTTAAAAAATGGTACAAGATCAACACGATAAAATTATCATGTTTAACGAATGTTTATCACGTGCCTTCCGAGATAAACTCAAGATCAAGAATGCATCTTTAATGAGTTATCCTACACAGATTGTTTGTTATGTAGTACATACTATTTTAGGGAGAGTTAAGACCAAACATAATACCTAATAACGATTTATATATGCGAACGTGCTATTTCATTTATTAAAGAAAAGCATTTTAATGAAACAAAATTATTCAAAAGTCGTATTTAGGAAGGATCAATACTTCCGTCCGTGTAAAACAGACAACCGTTTTTCTTTATTTATAAATATATCGAAATTTTGTGCTTTTACCGAAATAAAATTGAGAAAAAAAAATGGTCACAGTACCTTCTTTGTCTGCTTCTTTCTCCGTGGACGGGAAACCCGAGCACAAGGTAAATCCGACTACAACACATACTAGAAGCATCATCGCCATCTCCCTAAACCGTTTCTTTAACACAAACTACAATCCTATCGACCGTACCACACACTTATGACATCATTTGTTTCTTATGATGTCATTTCCACACGCGCAACCACACAAATTCCATGTAAAACATCTGAATTTTTAACAAACACTTTAAAATAGGTAAGACTTAAAACAACAACAGAATACCTGAGCGATTATTCAGGTATGAAAGTTTAAACAAATGGTCCTAGTTTTGTTTGATATGAAGGTGTCCCAGCATTCGGGTGCCCCGGGGGGACGGACTATCAGGAAATCAGTATACGTTTATGTGATACTATCCTAAACGATTGCCTTATCGAGTTAGCCAGTCATCCTTCAGTGACTCGCGCGCAGTCTCTTGGCCCTGAGGACGACAATACAGATACAATAGTTCCAGACCCAGGTGTGTAGACTTGGTACGCATATGTGTATATGTGACGTAATGAACACGGACACCTAGTTTCGTTTGTATGTCATATAATGATTTTTTAAACTCAGGTTTTCTCCCACAGTAAGCCCCCTCCCCCTCGAACGATTCCATACGGGCCAACTAGAGTGATAAGTGATTAATATAAGTTAGAAAAACCTTGTTTCGTTGTAAAATAAATCAAGTTTGAAATTAAAAAATTGTACAAGATCAACACGATAAAATTATAAAATAAACAACATTACCAAGGTCTTGAATAGACAAAATAGCAACTGACTTCATTCTTTGTTTTGTTTTTGTTGTGTTTCTTGTATTTGGTCCTTTTCCCTAGAGATCCTACAGATCTCCAATACTAGATTCCATGAAGCGCGTAGCTTTACATTCTTCATGTTCCGAAATTACGGTAATATGAAAAATGTAGCATATTTTTTACACTCATGGCGGACTAAGCGCCAACCATGGAATGATCTCTAGGATCCCTTTTCCTATTTTCTGCTGTCTTCCTTCAGCTACATGTTGAATCAAACCCTTTCAGACACTAACCAAATTAACTTAAAATACATTATAACTAAACTGAACGTCAGCTACCGAGAGGTGCCGGAAAACAATACCGAGCATTTTATTGTGTTTCAAGTATGTCCCTTCAGTCAGTTTTCAGAAATAGTGATAGCAAATTTGATATGGCCACTGTCAGCCATCTTGAAACACCAACGATACTCAGAAAATGCAATGCAAAATGTGTTCCGTCGTGAGCATACTCAAAATGTTTCGAGAACACCTTCCTTTTAACATGAGTGCAGGTTTCTTCGAGATTACAACACAATATGACGTCATATCAACGTCACGTTGACCCACGATACGTCAATGCTTTGCGTTAAGATGATTAAGATTTTCTGGTAGCGCTTCCTTTCAACTTTCTGTCATTCACACTCATCTAAGTGGTATTTTCAGAACGTCATACCAATGCATTAAAGAACGAATACAGTTTCTATTTTTACGAAATTAAAACTAAACAGGAATCAACATTTCATTTTTTATAATATAATGCAACTTCATAACATAACTTAGTAAACAGATCTACATGTATATACATGTAAAGTGTACAGAGTGCACAGACTGTCGTTCAGAATAGCATTTGTACAAGCTTATGTTCAGGGTACATCTCATTTCAATTAACATACATATAACAAACAACGTAAATCTGATCAAAGAAATGTAGATGATCAAGACATAAAATCAAAACGAGTTGTAAAAAAAATAATGATAATAACAACGCTAAAAGAATAGGAAGATGAATTGGACTATTATAAAGCCCTATAAGATTAATCTTCCATGAATACACAAGTTAGTGTGATAGTTTATTGGGTTTTCGCCCTGTATACAGAATTATTTTGAGACGGGTTCATCTTTTAGTAGCTGGTGACTACAGCATTGAACATAATGCGAGAGGGACACCGCGTGCTATACAGATCAATTAGGAGGAAGTGATTTGCCAAAGGACACAATAGTCCAGAACGGTCCGTTCTCTCAGCTTTAAGAGTATCAAAATATCAAAAAAAAGCTATGGTAAATTTAATTTATATGTGAAAGGTCGTGGGTTCCGTTCCTCTACCTAATTAAAATGATATCATGCATGTTGGACCTTTCGGTTTGTCAACATATACGTTTTCCATAAACGGACCTAGGATCTGGTTTCCAGTTACGTTTAAGGATAAATTGAACTAGGAACTGGGAACCGCCTTCAGGCTCACAAAAAAAAAAATATAAAAAAAACCCTAGAAAATCACGGGAGCGTATCGGGATTGGTTGGGAATTATATATACATTTTTTGTCAATATTTAAAAAACAAATTTAAGGAAACATGTAGCAGTTTTGTTATTTTTGTTGTGTTGTTTTAACATGTGCACACATTGACATACATATGTAAAAAAAAACCTAGTCATGGACATGCAGATTAAAATAACTGTTACTGTAGATCAACTTTTTTGGCGTAATTTGCTTTCACGATTTTACATCACAATTTTACAAGGATTATTTTTTGTGAAACTGACAAGTATAATGGTAAATTATACTGCATTGTCGTATTCAAGTCTTAATCTGCGGTGATTAGATTTCGTAAATTGATTTCGATCGCGACATTCCTTAAAGTAAATCGCACGTGATAAGAAAGTTGGTTTATTATAATAGAAAACAGCATATAATACAAAATTACAACTTAACAAAACAAATATTGTATTTTTTCTTAAATTCCTTTACATGTTCATATATGCTGCTCATTAATTTAGCCTACTGTGATTCTCACGTTTTCAGATTAACTCGACAAGTGTTTACCGAGGTAAACTGACAGTAAAAATGCATATAAATTAACAGTCACGAATCATTCTTTGTTCAAACTAACCTAAAATATTGTATAATAATTAATTTTTGCGAATTAAAAAAAATCATTAAATCCATAATTACTTTTAAAATTAAGTTCAAATCAAAGACATGTTGTACATTCCGAATCGGAAGCAAAAGGGATTGTTTCCAGACTAGGTAGGTGGATACTACAAAAAACCCGACTGTTTGCAACCTGCAAAATTTTCAAGATGAACATGATTTTTCCATGTGTTCCATAACTGCGCCGGATGTGCGGAAGTTGGCGCCACATTTGGAACACGAGTAGGCATTAGCGCGATGAATTTCCATATGTTTTGATAGATGCCACTTTGATATGAACTTTCTGAGACATACAGTGCATTTTACCAGTTTCATCTTTTTCGTTTTCTTGTGACTAGATAAGTGTGTTTTAAACTCATTATGTGTTCTACACAAGTACATGCATAATTCACATTCGAACCAGCTTCCCTGGGCAAAGTCCAGTTGGTTCTTATAGTTCCGTATAGAAGTTGGTTTGAGCAAAGCGGCATTGGTTTGTGGTACGCCTTCCGTTTTGACCGTTTTCTGTTCCTGTGCTGTAGAAATTTCTCGTCGCTCTGGCGGCTGTGGCATAAGAACAGATGTTGTTGTTTTCTCGAATAATGCCTGCTCATCCTCACTCAGCTCGTCAGAGTCAGATTCGGAACTCATTCCAACCACGGGAGAATTCGATCCAGGCGACCTTGATCCTTGCGATCCCGATTCCGCACTCAATGTTTCCGTATCGCTGTACTGTGAACTCACAGACTGCGTTGAGGGCATATCACAAGAATCTTGCTTATTTATCTTTACGTTTTGCATCTCAAAACTGCACAACACAGAATTGACTTTACTTTGTGTAGTTTTATTAGCGGCTGTTCCGAGTGAAGTAGTTGAATTACTAGTAGATGCTGGGCTCTTTTGAAGCATGACTTTTTTGGGGTAAATGAGGGACGTAAATTTTGCGAGCTCCCCTTTCTGTTTTGCCGTCCCTGGTGGGACTTTATATACGTCCAGAAGTTCGCGTATCTTTTTCTCCACAGCATTAACTACAACTGGGTGCTTTATTCCTCCTTCCGACTCCTGCGAAATGCGTTTTCCGGCTGTCATTGAACCTAAAGTTGGAAGCTTAAACACTCCAATATTTGAAGCCCCCGTTTTACTCGTAGACTGTTCCTTCTTTGTAAGCATTTCTTGCAGCTTCTTCGTAATAGTAGGCGTGACCGTTGTGCGTGTTGCCGTTGTAGGAACGCTAATCGCAGGTCTTGATTGTGGCAGAATGATCACCTGTTTCCTGAGGGAAACACTTGTACTGGACTGTGGAGTAACAACTATGCTTGAGGAAGGTCTACTTGCGGGCTTCTCTGGCGAAGATTCGACCAAAGAATTATTTACTTTTGTGGTGTAAGTGTGGTCATTGCTTTGATCAGCAGAGTTAAAAAGAATACCACTCTCCGGTGATATTATATTACTGCTTATTATGGATGCCATATTAGATCCTTTTGAAAGTTGTTGCACAATCGAAGACGCCATCTGAGTTCCACTTGAAGGTGGTGTGACAGGTGAATCAGACATTTTTGAACTGGGAATGTCCATAGAAGAAGACGAAACGCCAGAATCATCACTTCCTTGAGACATTTCGTCCTTCTTTTTGTCTACCTCAATTTTGAACACATATTGACCGTTCATGTGCAGCGTCATGTGGTGCAAGAGATACTGTGAATTGGGGAATCGTGCTTCGCACATTCCACATTTGAAAGGAATTTTAACAACAGATATCAATTCTGTCTGAATAACCTGACTACGAAGCATCACCTTTTTGTTCTCGTCACCTGCAATCTTATCACCGTCTATTGCAACATTCGCTTGATCAGAAACCGAATGTGCAACCATTTCTGACCGCGTTGGAACTGTCGTGATATCCGATGGTGTCATTGCATTGCTCAAAGGAAATGCTTCAACACAGCCTTGACCCACGATTGGTTCAGAATGAGTTTTTGTGCTGTTCACCTTTGCATTAATCGAGGCCTGGCTGACGCCGTCTGTTACAGGTCGCGAAACTGACTTCCCTTTCGTTACTTTTCCCGATGAAATGGCATGTTTCAATTCATGCTTGAACAGATACTCTCTAGATATGAAAGGCTGGCCACAGTCACTGCACTCCAGGAATACTTGTTTCTCGAGACTAAGTGTTTGTCCAGCAGGGTTTTTACCTTTGATATGTCCAATGATATGCTTGAGTGTCATTTCACATTTTGCAGGTATTGTTGCCTTGCATTTTCGACACCTGATCATCTGTTCACCATTCCCATTATAGAAACATCGCAAGTCCCCTATATGTTGAAATGAATGACACATGAATTTTTCATTTTTGTAAAAAGCTTTTGGACAATATCTGCAACAATACTGTGCATGGACACCGTTTAAATGTGATTTCAATTCCCTTGAATCTTGGAATGTTTTAGAACACAGTTTGCATTTGAGAGATGGGTATTGCATCATATATTCGTGTTTCATTTGCTTGGCTGGTGTCACACCTTCTTCCAACGTTGAATTATTGTCACCAATATCATTTTCTACCTTCATCTTTCTGTCTTCGTTAGATACGGAGATTCGTCGTTTTCTCTTTTTTTTCTTTACTTTCTTCCTAAAAGATGAATGGGACTTTTCCTTGCCTTTTGTCTGGTCACTCTTGTCTGACTTGGAGTGAACGTTCCTCACATGAACTGCCATTGCCTGTTGCTTATTGAAAATTTGAGAACACTGTGCACACTCATATGTGTCACTGTACACTGGTTGCTTTCTGTGAGAACCATCTTTGTTCGAAGTGTCCAACTTTATTGTCAATTTTGCACCAAGAAGTGAAACTTCTTTTACTTCAGGGTTTTTATCAATACTTGCTTCAAGTTTTAATTCACGTTGTCTTTCCTTCTTGTGTTTCCATTGCATGTGATTTGCAAGTTTTTGAGTCATGTCAAATTTTTTGTTACAAAATCTACACCGGTACAGTCGCTGTCCGTCCTTTTCAACCACAACATTTTTACTCCGAGAAGACCTTTGTTTATGTATTTGTCGATTTCCTGTTTTTCCTTTCTCTTTTGATATCCTTTCTTCTTTTCGATGACTTCTGCAATGTCCCGCCAAGTCCTGTGACCTTGAAAACACCTCATCACATTGCTGGCACTTGTAGCTTTTTTGGTGAAACTTATCGATGTGATTTTTAAGTGCTTTAAAAGAGGTCAATTTTGCTGAACAATATTTACACTTGTACATCCCTGTCGGTGTAATATCGAACATGTCTTGATAAGACAACAGCTCATCAGCCTCCAACCCCATCTCTTCTGTTCCAAGTTCTGATAAGACCTGATTAGTATCTATAGTCAATGTACTACTTTGATCAAAATAGTCATGTTCCTGTATGTAGTCATCATCATCCATCGGCTCCTCTTTGATAGTAGCATTGTTGTAAATATAATTATCACTGTGATAGGAGTCCACCCTAGGATAATCGCTTGGAAATGTCAGTTCAACTTCTGTTGAATTTTGATGTTGTATGCTGCCTTGATTTCCATCACCTTCGTCGCCTTGGCTTTTCTCTACATACCCTGTTGATAGTTCTGGTTGCTTCGGCAGGTTTTCTTCGTCAACCGGCACACTGGAATCCTGTCTGTCAAATTCTTCCTGGGATACACCGACAACATCCCCAATCACAAACCCAAAAGGCGAATCTGTTTCCTCAGTAGAAACAATGTCCTTCGTTAGTTTAGTTTCATTCTCTAGAGCTTGAATCATGCAAGTCAAACCTTCTTGATTCACTTGTTGGTCTTGACTAGCAGAAGGATTCTGATCTATATAATTCTTGGAATCTCTTCTTGTAATGTCATCTGATTGATCTGTTTCTTCCATGCTTTCCTTAACAATTCTAGTATCAAGAATCAAATTATTTTTACGATCATTTTCATCAACATCACTCCATTCTACATCACAATCCTCATCACCATCATCGTCATCATGATCATCACTATTGATAACTTTAGAATCATCTTCACTTAATTTATCACTTTCATCATTTTCATCATTATCATGATCCTCTATAATTTTATATTTATCTTCACTTTTTATGTCATCATTGTCTTCACATGCATTTACGGCTTCATCAACACTTATGTCACTGAGTTTGTCATTTTCATCCATTTCATCATAATCATCTTCTTTCTTACTAAATCCCAGTTGGTAAACATCTCTGCAACCACCTTCGTCATTATTGTCATCACTCTGGACCTCCATGTCATCCTTAAGCTGATAATCATCACTTTCATCACCACTTACATCACTCAGCTGTATGACAATAACATCATCAGTATCAAATTTTTCATTTTCATCCTCATTTTTTGGAATTTCTTTATTGGCTTCTTCGCTGGCACTCTCATTACTACATTCAGAAATAACAAAATCATTTTCACAGAATTCATTCATCGGATAGCTGTCATCCTGCTGTTCCTGAACATTTTCATCAACACTTCCTTTACTTGTAATAGATTTATCGTCATCTGAACCCTCTTCCTCCTCCTCCTCCTCATCTGAACTCTTTCTCTCATCACTTTTGGCATCATCATCATCATCATCATCATCATCATAGTTATCAGCTTCTTCGTCATGATCAGAGTGACTTCTTATGCCATTTTTTCTATTAATAGATTCTTCAACAACATCTTCGTCAGAGGAATAATTATCATTCTTAATATCATCTTCTTCATCAGATGTGAGTTTATGGTTGTCACTGTCACTAATATTGTTTTCATTGTCATTAACACTGTTCTCATTGTCACTAATATCACTATTATCACCGTACTCGTCAGTCGCATCTCCATTTTCTTCTTGCTGGTTGCTGTTGAAGCTGCCTATTACAGAAGAAGCAAAATGCTGACCCTTGAGATCTTCATTTGTAAAGCAGTTTGGAACCTCATTTTCCTCATCAAGTTCAACAGAAATATCTAGATCATCATCTTGCATACCAATTTCCCATCCTGGTCGATCGTTGATGAGAGATAGAATGTCTAAGTCCTGAAAGTCAGCCATAGTTTACAGATGTTTGGTCTGTAACTCCTTTCTAGTGAAATGCACTGTTACCATATAGTCTTATGTGGTAATCAGTTTTTCTTCCACATTCTGACATCGAGAAGTTCCCACATCTGGGCGGCAACATCACCTGCAAAAACAGTACGAGTACATTTATTTATCACATCACATTTTCGTGTCACAAGTTTTACAAATTTTAGAGAAAAAAATGATATTATATACTTCATCAAACTACACATCCTTATGTTATTGTGACAAACATTCCTACATTATTTTGATCTCATAATCCCTCGAGCACAAATTGGATTTATAAATGTCAGTGATCAGCCTGTTGTGAATTCACTAGTAAACATAATTACAACCAAACATCATCACCAAAAAAACATCAACACGATTAAACATTATCACCACTTTACATTAACACTAATAAACATCATTACAATCAAACTTTATCATCATTAAACATCATCAGCTTTTAACATAGTCACAAGTAAACATCACTATCACTAAACAACACCACAAAACATCACTATCACTTTACAACACAACCACAAAAAATCACTATCACTTAACACCACCACCACAAGACATCACTATCACTTTACAACACAACCACAAAACATCACTATCACTTAACACCACCACCACAAAACATCACTATCACTTAACAACACCACCACAAAACATCACTATCACTTAACAACACAACCACAAAACATCACTATCACTTAACAACACAACCACAAAACATCACTATCACTAAACAACACCACCACAAAACTTCACTACCACTAAACACCACCACCACAAAACATCACTATCACTTGACAACACCACAAAACATTACTATCACTAAACACCACCACAAAACATCACTATCACTTAACAACACCACAAACCATCACTATCACTTAACAACACCACCACAAAACATCACTATCACTAAACAACACCACCACAAAACATCACTATCACTAAACAACACCACAAAACATCACTATCACTTAACAATGCCACCACAAAACATCACTATCACTACTCAACACCACCAAACATCACTATCACTTGACAACACCACAAAACATCACTATCACTAAACACCACCACAAAACATCACTATCACTTGACACCACCACAAAACATCACTATCACTTAACAACAACACCACAAAACATCACTATCACTAAACAACACCACAAAACATCACTATCACTAAACAACACCATAAAACATCACTATCACTAAACAACTCCACAAAACATCACTATCACTAAACAACACCACCACAAAACATCACTACCACTAAACAACACCACAAAACATCACTATCACTTAACAACAACACCACAAAACATCACTATCACTAAACAACAACACCACAAAACATCACTATCACTTAACAACATCACCACAAAACATTAATATCACTAAACACCGCCACAAAACATCACTATCACTAAACACCACAACAAAACATCACTATCACTTAACAGCACCATCACTAAACATCACTATCACTTAACACCACAACAAAACATCACTATCACTTGACAACACCACCACAAAACATCACTATCACTAAACAACACCACCACAAAACATCTCAATCACTAAACAACAACACCACAAAACATCACTATCACTAAACAACACCACCACAAAACATCACCATCACTTAACAACACCACCACAAAACATCACTATCACTTAACAACACCACAAAACATCACTATCCCTTCACACCACCACCACAAAACATCACTATCACTTAACAACACCACCACCAAACATCACTATCACTTAACAATACCACCACAAAACATCACTATCACTTAACAACACCACAAAACATCACTATCACTTAACAACACCACAAAACATCACTATCACTAAACAACACCACCACAAAACATCACTATCACTAAACAACATCACCACGAAACATCACTATCACTTAACAACATCACCACTAAACAACACCACTAGTAAGTATCACCACAATGGATACTCTGCTATCCTTATACAACAACACCCTTCACATGCTTCAATCTGGACCAACAATGTACGTAACCCTACAGTTTACAAATGTATTAATAGTTAATAGTCTTATATACATGTATACAGTGTACAGACTGCTGGGCTGGGATTTGGTTTCAATGTTTCTCAATTCCTACAACTTAATAATCATTGCATGTTCTTGTGTAAGGTACTGTAGAGATTGTACTGTACTTACATTCATATGGTGAAGTTCTAGAAGATCTGGTAAATTTTTTTGTCCATGTTTTCTTCTAGTCATTTATATCGGAGCTTTAAACTTCAGGCTGACCATATCCTGTAAGAAAAAAAAACATGTTAACATGATCACACATAAAAACTGAATTTTAACAAAAATAGATTTAATATATGTGTTTATAATGATAAAATATTGATTGTGTAGATTACCTACACTGTAGTTAAGTTGGTGAAATATGATACATGAATATATATGGGTAAGTGAAATATACAATTGCAATAGGTTGGAAAAATTCAGAGTAGGCAGGGAGACAAAAATTTGATTTTAACAAATAGTTTATATAGAAGAAAGATCTTGACTTTGACTTAGATTTTTTTTAAAAAAAATGCCTTGAAATATTGAGGGTAGACCAAAATATTTAGGCAAATACAGTAACCAGAAACAGGAAATAGTTTTGTTTGGCCTTAAAGAGGAGATTTATGTTTGTGAGTGGAAACATATACATGACTCTCTCTCATTTTAGTCCAAAGACATGTCTGCTGATTAAGCTACATGATGTCTGTAGGTTTCATTTTATGACAAAATACAAGTATTTACTGGATAAGTGAGAGACAAAAATGGCCTTGACATTGAATATGGTGACCTTGACCTTTCATAAGGAAATGCAATCAGTAATTTGATTCTCAGTCAACATTGCTCCACATTATCATACAAATAAAACAATGAAAGTTTGACCTTGACATCTGACACGATAAACTTGATTTGATCTTTCATAACATCTAAATGACCTTCTCAATTAATTTCATTACATGTAATTACATGTATTTACCACTTAACTGGTAAATTATTAAAACTAAATTAATTTTGCATTTCCATTTTCAGTAATGTAACATTCAATTTTAAATCACAGTGACCTATATGTGCAGTTACAGCACACTGATCGTGAAAAAACTTTGTACTTGATGTGTTTCTAGGTCCTGTAAATATATGATTGTAACTAGTTTGAATGTCATACATGTTGGCAAGAAAACGTGGTACTGAAATTATGCACCAATGCTGGATGAAATGTATACTTGACCAAGGAACATTTTAACCTAATGCACTGCACTTTGGCTGTGAATTGCCTGTTGCTGCATGCATATAAGGTACATTGTATATGTATCTAAAATCTAAAAACTTGTTCAAAAGATTAATAATCCTGTTATCATACATACTACAGGATCAAGAAGGAAAATAAAGTTACAACAGGAATCATTTCCTCCAACAATATTGGTAAAAAAATCGAAAGTTTAAATACTCTTGAGGTTGAGGAAAACTATACATGATAATTTGGGAGGTAAGTGTGTTTAGTTTAAACACATTTTATTTGATGAAATCAAACAGGATTGGACACTAGTTACATCCTCTCCCATATAACATGCATACAGGTGATACAAGTGGCAGCAAAATGCACTGATGCCTACTAACATGATGATAGATTTATTGATTAAATGAATATTAAAATATGTGATGAAGTGATTGATGCTAGCACCCAAAAAACACCTGTTATTAAGAATTAGATCAACACAGAAAGTACAATAGTAATGCAATCTTAGGATTTTAGCCCATGTATACTTTTGTTAATAACAGATCTGTATCTATTATATAACAACGACATCAACATGACTTCACAACAACTAACCTAATCTTATCAAATGAGGGTGGGGAGGGGGTGGGGGGTATATTAAATTTAGAATTCCAGAAAATTATTATTTAACTTTACTGAAAAAAATGTACAAGTATAAAGTTAATTTCTGAAAATATTTCCATTTTGTTCATTCATGTCATATTAAAACATCTTAAAACACCATCTTGTATTTTCCTAATCAAAATGTTTATTGTATACTTCAATAAGCGAGCATAAACCTTTAACTTAGAGGCTTAGCAGTTGTACAGGTGTGTCTTGCCTTAATTAATTAAAAAAAAAAAAGATTTTATTTTCTGATTACTAGCAAGCTTAATGTATATATGAAACTTTTACATGTTTTAATACATATAGGTAATTCTATGATTACAATTTTGTTTACACAGTATACATATTTATTTCTCTACTTAAAAATAAATAAATAAATAAATAAATGAGAGCTTTCCAAACACAAATAAAATAGGAAATACCAGCTAAAACTAAAAATACACAAGATATATTATCTATTGACGAAACTTTAACAAGCTTTCAGTTGAAATACAAAATCATATTTTGATTTATAAAATTAGAAAATAACGGTGTGTTCGTTCCAAACTGAAACCATAATTAAACGGTTTAATAAAATGATCTTAAAGACGATATCACAGACAAGAATTCATGATGGGTAAGGATAGGATGCCCCTAATGCGCCTCTCTTGACCGAAATAAATGTTGACGCGTGCGCACTAACAATTGCTGTGCTGTTTATCATATCCTCACTTCCGCTATGCAATTGCCAAACCTTTGCATCGCGTCAAATCGACGAAAATCCGTTCAAACATCGATATGTCACCGAAGTTTGCGTCATAATGAAATCTTTAACATACATATGACCATATTCATTGAAAGTAAGCGAAAAAACGAACAAGATTAACTTGGTTAGCGCCCCGACGACGCGACACCGTGCTCGCCTACAGCTTCCGAGCTCGACCTCGCGGCGGCCACGGATATCCACAACAATCGACAATTGTACGTGAACATGCGAAAAAGACAACCATACACACACTCCTTACCGTTAATTAGGTATCGAGCTATCAAATCCTGTTGTTTCGTCAATGCCATCAAAGCATTCGACGGCTGAGTTAATGATTCCCAACGCTCCGAAACGCATCGCTACTAACATTCGTTCGATGCATATTTTTGTTTTGCGGTCTGAGCGAAGGGGAACAACTCCGATTGGATTAGGTTCGTGTTAGGGAAATCGACCGTTCGGTAACGGTATCTGGAGCATCGTTCCACCGCTGAAATAATTCCATGACACCATTTTTTGGTATACCGGATATGGAGATTGTGTTCTATTTTTGTATAGATTTGTATACGGATTCACATCCAATACAATATCGTTTCACTTTCATCGCCGATGTTGTCATGCGTCGATCGATTCAGCGCCATGTATTGAAATCACTCTATAGACATGGACTTTAGCAAGGATTAACAAAGGTAAATGGTTTCGCCGAAACTGTTTTTATGTCTGTACATGTATACGATGTGTTACCATATTTTCTCACACTGTGTATACGTTACATAAAAGGAAATTCGAAACTTTATACCACGCCGCTAAAGAATGACTCTAGATGATGATGGTTTATCGTCTCCGTGACTCTGCCCGGCGTCGGGCAAAATGTCTCTTAGAAAAACAGGGGATATATTTACGAAATGACACAGAAGAAATTTCCCCTGGCAAAACGACAATATCTAAGTCCGTGATGTAACCAACTTCAAAAGTTCAAAGTCAATAGAACGTCTGAATGATTAGGACTATGATATATATGCTCCATCGTAATTTTATGGCAATTCACATAATATACATCTGTGACAGAGATAATTTATTTCAATGCCTACATTAGGATTCAAACCCGGGACATCTGGCTCGCTGGTCCTAGTGATATCGAGATGCAGTTTTCGTGGGTGGAATAAAGGTATATGGCAGTAACAATGAAAAATGTCCCTGTTTGTGCGAGTTTATTTCCAGACTAAAACGTATATTACGACATCGATTGCTGATAAGCTGACTTTTCAACAACTGTGTCTCTTCGAGATTTAAAAACTTTCCGCACAGCTCCTTGGAGCTATTAATTAGATACAGTGTCTGGGTATTAAGACTAATTAAAGCGTCGCTATAGAATTGACCAAGCACCCAAAGGCCAAAGCTGCGGTAAGTTGATATGAAATTTGGAGTACACAGCGAAAAAGTATCTATGATGTGAACTTATAATATCAAAGTTAAAATCGCTCGTTGAAATATAATTGGAAGTGGGCGTTCGCTTAAAGTACAAGTAATTGTGCCAATCATATCATATAATTGCAAATAAAAGGCCGCCTGGGTGTCCTAGGTCTACATATGTAGCTGTTTTCTTGATGAATTTTGGAGGAGGGGGAGTGGAGTGGGTGTTCCCCCGAAGGCATAATACTAAGACCGGCAGACCCGTCCCTATTTCGAAACGAAACTATATGTCTGATCTAGTCAAAGCGATAAACGAAAACGGATTTGCCTAATGGTAAAGCACTTCGACAGGGTTATGTCCCCTTCCGATTTCCAGGGGGCGCGTGTTGACAAGATGTCTGCCTCCGTGTTTGTATGACAGATACCGCCTTGATGTCCCCGAAAATTAGTGTCAGCTTTTGTGAAGGTACATGTTCAGTTTTCCAGAATTACCATATAAATTATGTTTAATTGACATAACATGTTTAAAATTGTCATATGTTCTGATCAGGTCGGAATTTGTAAAAAGTTTATTATTTCAAGAAATTCGAGAGTAAAAACAACGGAAATATGAAAGTAATTTGTTGCAATTTTTATCATGAGTATGTGTTGTCGTTCTATTCAAGAGATCTCAATCAGCCTTCTGTTGGAAGTTCTAGATCTGTTGTCGCATTCCCCCAAAAAATATCATGTTCTGATGTGACCGACGAGAGCACAAGGCCTAATATGGCCTTAGCTGTGTGGTGTAGTTTAATTTGTATTTGAATCTTCTGTAACTAACTAAAAATTGTTTTTAAATGTGCCACTTTTGTACAATATTTGAGGAGGTCCCTATTGATTAAATTAATTTCAAAACTTTAAAGAGCTGAGTAATGTTAACTGTGTGAAATATGACTGTTATGATCAATAATTTTCAATACTAAATTGAATGAAGAATTATAACTGTACAAGAGACTAAAAAGTTGTGTTAATCGTACATACAATATGTATTGTCTCATGTAGATACTTTGATTTGTTCCAGGACAATGTCTGGTGAGATTTTCTCACGTGATCCTTTCCCAGAGAATCTCGAGGATGTTGATGTTATTGGGAGGAATCCACTGATGTGTTACTTGTGCAGTGGAAAATATGAGGACCCATGTATACTAGGATGTTATCATAGCTTCTGCTCTACATGTCTTCAAGGAAGGGCCAAAGATGGCAAAATGTTGTGTCCATTGTGCAAGTAATAACCATATTTAAATGATTTATATATAGATGTTCAGTTCATATTTATAAACTAATTATATATAATTACTTACAAAGCTTACATCAACTTCTACTTCCTATGAGATTTATGAATCAAGTTTAAGAATTTCTGATTTGAGTGAATCTAGCTGAAAATGAAAATTTTTGGAGAGTTTCCATTGAATTGCACATGAAATAAAACAAATTTAGATTTTTTCTTTTATTGTAATGTCCATTATTTCATCATGTGATCCATTATTTTACCAATATAGCTGAAAATTTGCCATTCCATGTTTTTCTTGAAGGTAGCTTGAATATCTGCTATTATCTACTGTCCACATTTAGGCATCATAATAGAATCTCATTATCAGCTTGAACAACACAACTTATATTTTGCATCAATTTTCAATGAAAAAAGTGTTTTTATTCAGCTGGAACTTGCCTGAAATGATTCTGAGATGGTTTTGACTATGTAATGTTATTTTCCAGGTCATTTCAAATTCCAATATTGCATCTATGCAGTCATGGCCCCATCTTGAAAATCACATTTTAGATTTCTTCTCAATTTCTACTTCTGTAATTGAGCTAAATGTTTCTAAGAATGTTGAGAAACTGTTAATATATCCTATCTGTTTTCATAATTACTAGTTGTACTACTACTATTATGCCATATATAGATGTTCAGATGACCATTAAATCCTTGGGCCTATTGTTTATTTAAATGAAGTATATCAGCAGAGAATATGTGATTTTTATATAGTGTATTGTGGAATGATTTTGTAGGGAAAGCACTACCCTTAAAGAAGGTGAAAGCTTACCTCTTGAGGATAAGCTACTCCAATTCCTTGTCATGTCATCCAGTGAAGAAAGGGAACAGTGTGCTAACTGTGATATGGTAAATTACTACAGGAATACATTCAGTCGAAAACATCTTTTTTGAAAAACATGTTTTTGATTAATTTGTTTTGTAAAACTGATGACCGATACTCTGGGGGTTATGCTCACTATCACTCTCCAAACTCCTGGAACATTTTATTACAAAATTGAAGGTTCCATGTGCGACTCTTTGTGGATAAGATAAGAAGCGTAGGTCTATCTTTGCTATACGTCAAACAAATGTCAAGGTCGCATAATGATATATTGTAATGACTCTGCTCCTTTGTAATCTTCAAAGGAGTGTATCAGTCTGTGATTGATCAGTTCTTTTTTCTCCTAAAACCTGTTCTAGACCAATTAAACGAAATATTCCAGGGGTGCAGACAGCAATAGTGATCATAACCTCTGGAGTATTGAGGATGTAGGGCAACAAGTAATAGGAAACTTAAATTGAACCAAACAAGTGAAGCTTATTGTTTCTTTTCACAGCAAAAATGTTGTTTAAGAGCAAAATGAAATCGAGCTGACTGAGCTTGGATTATAAGATGTCAAGAGAAAATGTCATTTTGAAAATAATTTGAAAGCAATTATTAAAATTTTAAGTATGGTACATAACATACTGTTTTTCCCTAAAAGGAAAATACCTTTGTACATATGTTATTTTGAAATCAGTATAATAGTGATTTAAACATCAGTAAATGTTCAGGTTTTCTTTTGTTATTTGTTCTTTGAACAGGATGAGGGACAGATGTATTTCTGTAATACCTGTTCACAGCCTTTGTGTGAAAGATGTCGTGAAGAAACTCACCGTGCAAAGATGTTTACCCGACATGATATTGTACTCTTGTCAAAACGCACAAAAGAGATTCACAGGGAATGTTGTAAGTTTTTAAGGAGATACACAGGGAATGTTGTAAGTTTTTAAGGAGATACACAGGGAATGTTGTAAGTTTTAAAGGAGATGCACAAAGAATGTTGTAAGTTTTTAAGGAGATACACAGGGAATGTTGTAAGTTTTTAAGGAGATACACAGGGAATGTTGTAAGTTTTTAAGGAGACACACAGGGAATGTTGTAAGTTTTTAAGGAGATACACAAAGAATGTTGTAAGTTTTTAAGGAGATACACAGGGAATGTTGTAAGTTTTTAAGGAGACACACAGGGAATGTTGTAAGTTTTTAAGGAGATACACAAAGAATGTTGTAAGTTTTTAAGGAGATACACAGGGAATGTTGTAAGTTTTTAAGGAGATACACAGGGAATGTTGTAAGTTTTTAAGCAGCTACATATCTATAAGTCACACAACATTTATACATGTAGATTTTTAATTGAAATTATTATGAAAATGACAAAGGGATTGTTATCTCTTGATTTATTTGCTGAAACAACTTTGGACACTATCAGCACTATCCTGTAAAAGAGAATCACAATTTTTGCTCTCATACTTTACAGCAAAATAAAATGAAAATAGCAACATGTAAACATAATCATAATCCAAACTCAGATTCAATAACACTATCGCAAAATATGAACAAATGAAAGATGACATAGAGACTTCTGAAAAATTACAATGATATTAAGACCATGTGTTCCGGAAGAGTAAGCATCTTCTGTTTCATTGATGACACCTGGCAAGTCCAAGGATCAAGTCCATGATTGCTTATTGGTCACAATCAAAATGATCATTCAAAGGAGATAGGTCACTATGTATAAAGTTGACACTAGACAGTGTATCATATCATAGAAAAAAATTTCTGAAGTATTTTTTTTTTCTTTTTTTTGTAATTTCAACTCAAAAATGTTTCAAAAACCATATACTATAAATTACTTATTTTACAAAAGGGATTATATTTTGCATCTATTTGTGAGCAGCTTCATTTACAAATTCTAATTCATCACGAATATACTTTTGCTGATGTTTTCCTTAGATATATGACTTTTGTAGTGTGGTACATGCGAAATCATGTATTACTTACCTCTCAAGAAATTAAATACTCAATAAATTGAAGGAAATTTACTGTGCTCACAATTTAAAATTATTTATTTGTTCATGTACATGTACTTCATTTATATTCTTATAATCAATATTGAGAAATGAAAAATGTATTGGGTTGATATCAAACAATTATCTAATTGATTCTGTATTTAGGATCATTATCTAATCAGTAATATATTGTTTTGAGTGCATTTTTGGTGCAAAATGTTTGTTAGAGGAATTCACAGAGAAGGTGCATCCAATCAGTTTGTTTTGGATAAAGTTTCCTACTTCAATGAACCAAGTACTAAAACTTTTATTTTCATTTTCAGTTCTTCACCATGAACCATTTATCCTGTTTTCTACAGAAAAGAAAACTATGCTGTGCATTAACTGTTTCAGAGATATGAAAATGTAAGTATTTAGTGAATAAGAGTGTTAAAAACCCAGCAATCAGTTTAAGCATTTTATTGTCTGTATTAAGATTACATTTCATTAAGTAAATATCTAAATGTTACAATCTTTCACCATTGTTTCAGAGAGAGTCGCTCCTATTGTGTTGACATGGAAACAGCATACCATCAGTGCTGTAAGAAACTAGACCAGAGAATGCAGGTATGAACTAGAGTGACTTCCCTTTAAATATTTTAGACACTAACCTAGCAGATGAGAAGGTACCTCAAATTTTTTAGGTTTTGCAAGGAAAAAGGATATTCTTTTCATAATTTGTGTAAAGTTCCATGTCTTTAGGTAGGTTGTACATTTAACACCATTTTTACAGTAAGAATCTTTCTTTAACTCCATTTCTCTGATACAGGTTTCTCTATTTAGTTCTTGTTTTGTCTAACCAAGTTTCATTATGTTCATGTATTTTAGAAATATTTCCAAGTTTATATTCCATAGCATTTATCCTGTTACAATGGATTCTATTACAACAGAAACACAAGTCATAGTATTAGAGAGTTCACATTCCCTTACTAGCCTCCTCTAGTGGGAATTTCCCTTATTTCAAGAGGTGGAGTGTCCAGCTGGAGAGGAAGATTCACTGGTTTTTATTACTCATTCCTATTGAAATATTAACACATAGAACTTATTACACCATTAATGGTTTTTACTTTGATTAAGTAATTAATGGTTTTTGATAAATAATCTTGGTTATAATACCCTGTCTAAAACCGTCGCCAACTCACCTGATTTCATCATGTAAACCTGATACTTGTCTTATTATGACCTTCAGGTATTAAGAAATCTCAAGGTCAATATTTAGAACCAGCAAAGTCCAAATAATTAATAATTATACAATATAATTGATTATAATGTCTCTTTACATAATCTTTTTGAACACCTCGTCACCTTTTGATGGCATATGACAAGATATTGAAAGAAAATTGGCAATTATTAGCCATGAAGAAGTAATGAAACATTTCTTGTCACTTGCTGATAATTTTTAAAAGAAAAAACATATGAAAATGTTATCTACAATTTCCTTTTTTTCTTCTGTCTTCCACAGGCTATTAGAGACTTGCAACGTTCTGTTCAGGACTCCATACTTTTACTCCGTGCCTTGCTAGAAGAGATAACGCAAAACTCAGACTTGGAAAAATCTGCTATCAATGAACTCTATGACTCTTTGATTAAAGAAATAACAGGAAAGAAAGAGACCCTGTTGATGGAGGTGGATAGGTATGTCAGATGGTGTTCATGGTATTGTGTTATAGATAATATATATATAACCAGTGTTGTCTGACAGTGAAGCACAAAATTAATATGATACACCACACAAATGCAAAATGTAATGTTTCAAGAACTGATTACATTAAAAGAAAGAAAAATAGATTTCCTTTAGCTGGGAATGTTGGCTTCAAATTTTAGTTGTGGTTCCTCGTATAAACTAGCTTATCATCTTGGAGCGTCTGATTACTGCAACCCCCTCTGGATCCGCATAACATACTCTTGAACTTTAGCACATAAATAGGTTTGTAAATATAATACATAATGTACAATTGAATATTATTAATTCTATTTTGTATCCAATTTTTTTCCCATCTTAAGTAGAATTTTAGCCAGAAATTTTTTGGAGAAAGTGATTTTTCTCATTACACTGTGGAAGGAATTAAATGATCCTTGAAAAGGAAATGTTCACTTGCACAATTCTTTCTTCTTGCATTAAAAGTAAGAGAATTTTTTATTGAAAGTAGATTTTTAATACTGGAAGGCTGTCAGCATTTTAACATGGATTTGAGATCTAACCCTCATTGATATATGTTTGATGACCTATGACCTGAAGTGTATTTCTGTATAATGTTGCTCTGCAATCATATCAGATGAATTTTCATGACGTTTTTACCTGATTTGTTTAAATCTTTTGTATAGACAGTACCAGGATAAGCAGAAACTATTTACAGAAGAGCTGGCTAGTCTAACCACACTGTTACCAACACTTCACACACACTTAGTCACATGTGCTGCCTTCTCAAGCTCAGCCAATAAATTTGAGTTCTTAGACCTTGCCTATGTAAGTATTGTATTTTTATCCTTACCATCCTCTGTAAGATTTCCAGTATCTAGCCTGTGTTATTTACAAATTAGAATTGTTGTTAAATCGGACCTTGCACACTTGTAGAACAAATATAACTGTAAACCTATGTTACCTTTAATGAAATATTTAAAACGGAAAATTATCCATGAATTTTCATAGATGACAATCTTTTATATAGATTTTTTCCACTGTTTGATGCGAGGAGTTTATTCTGAAACTTGTAGATCCTGATGGAGCGACTGAAGTCGATTATTCATCTACAGTATCCTCTCCATCCATCACAGGGAAGTCAGATTTACACAGGCTTCAAAGTAGAGATAGCCAAGTAAGTTACTTCCCCTTGCACTTAAAATTATTATTGTCACTTAAGCTTTTGTTGTGATGAATATTGACATATATACCAGCAACTATTTGTGCAAAAAATGAAGGAAAAAAAAATAGAAAATAATCATATCAGAATATAAGATGTATATGGATTCCTGGGTATCATGTCTTGGTTATGTGTATTTTTCAGCTGAGCTGTAAGCATGCTATATTACATGGCAAACTGAAAAGGTTGATATTTTTTCAAAATGGAACAGAGTAAGGAAACAATGAATATGCTTAAAATAAAATTTTCATCACTTCTGTGAAAAATATTAATTTAACTTCAAAGTTTGGGTTTTTACAACTAAACTGCCTTTGTGGTACTCACCCATTTAAGATATATCCTTATGCATATCTTTTGATAGTGAGTTTAATGGATGTAGTCATTTGTTATCCATCTGCCTATCTGTCTATTTCAAAAGGTTTGTTGATGACATTTCTGACATGACACATACCAAGATTTTATTTCATATTGACACCAAAGCTGGTATGGTAATATTAAGTTGTACACATCCATCTCTAACATATCCCTTCTCCACAATCTGCTTTCACTTTATGCTTTTCCCAATCTACTTGATTTCCTAGCTTTTCTTGTCTGCTGAATGGTGGTTACAGCGGATGTTATGATCATTCAATATTTACAAGTTGTACCCCGGATTAGTTTTTGGTGGTCAAGAGTCAAGGATAAAGAATCAAAGATTGAATTTGAACACTTTAAACATTTATAATCAGGTAAAAATATAAAGAAAATAACACACCATTTCCATTCATCTGCTGGAAGGCTGTACTAGTGGACACAAAACCTGTTAAATAGATAAAGTAAAACCCAATTCCAGACAAGGAGATTGGTTATATCTATTCTACCCTTCAATTTGATTTTAATATTTTGCGGATCACTGAGTTTGTTGACAACTATTGTTTCACTGCTGTAGGTGCCTGGAGCCGCTACTGTTTCCACAGAAAATATCTGCAACTGGATCTCTGTCACTCTCCGCTGCTGTCACTACAGCCCCACGGTCAGTACTAATATGTATGCAGTAATACGCCCATGTCTAGTAGGGTTGTATTGATTTACATAGGGATGAATTATTCTGTTATAAGGTCAATATTTCTATTAGTTCAAAGACCGAAAGTAATGAATATGTATTAAGTAGAAAAATAATCACAATTCCAATAAGAGTTGTAATATATGTTGTTGTAATATGATTGATGTCAATGTTTCCATCCCACAGTAGGAAGAATAACCATCTCATTCCATGTTTTGTGTATGGTAGTTTTGATAGTATACTTTATATATCATTTCAGCCTAGAAAAGAATCCTGTTCCCCAAGCTAAAGTCAGATCAGGAACTCTTACACAAAATGAAAGACGACAGGTTGTCCTCAATAAGCTCAAGCTTGCAGAAGGCAAAGGTGTGTTTGCTGATCACTGCCAAGACTTTGATGCATCTCACAAGGTAATTATAAAGTTAAATGGAATCTATCAGAATGGAGTCATACTTTGTAGAAATCTATCAAAATGGTGTCATATTTTGAAGATATCTATCAGAATGGAACAATTTGAAGCTCCTGGAACAGAACCAAACCAGATATTTGAATTACTTTTGCAAGCTTAAGTCAAATAAAAAAATCAATATAAAAAGCAAGACATTCTTTGAACATTCACAGAGTCTGTCCCAGATGGTAGAACGCTTGAAGAGTCATCTACAGGAGCTACAAAGGGACCTAACTCTGCGACGATGCCTCACCAAGCAAACTGTGATGGAAGAGCTCCAGTGCAAGGTTGAACAAGTTGAGCAGCAATTAGAAAGTCACAAAATCAGGATGGAACAGAAACAGCCTCACTTGGAAAAGGTATGTATGATGATGATGATGATGATGATGATGATGATGATGATGATGACGATGACGACGACTTAAGTTGTATGATGAGGTTGAGAAATTTGGGGAAATATTACATAGAAAGATCAAAGTCATTGATAAACATTCATTTCTTGTATGTTTTTTTGTTTCTTATTTTCTGTTTATAGAAATTAAAGTGGAGATAACTCTTGTGTGTTTTGATTTATGTTAGGAATACGCATTACCAAATTCATATTAACTCAGCCAACCTTAGGTTCTGAATTACACTGGGAAAACTCTGTTTCTAACTCTACAATCATCATCCTGGTGATAGCAGCAGTACTGTGATACATATATTCCCTAATTGTTTTTGTAGTACTGGGAGGAATGTGTCCAGAGGATGACTTGTGAACAGGAAGTGTATCAAGGTATGTTCTTTCTGATTACAACATATATACTGTAGAATTACCTATTTTCGTGGGGCTTAGTTTCATGGTGTTTCAAAACATAAGTTTTTTGTGGAATTTTTATTATTTTGATGATCAATTCATTTACACTAATTTTATCAGTTTGTGGATATATGAATTTGTGGATTATGAGTACTCTCAAAATCAGCAAAAATTAATCCTCCACAAAAATGGATGATTCTACAGTACATTTGGAAGTGAATGAATTAAATATAAACTATATTTATTTTACAACAATTGTGAAACAAGTTATTTCAACTTACATTTATCTCTCTTGTTGGCCCAGATGTTATTAGGGAGGAAACCGGAGTACCCAGGAAAAACCCAAATAGTCAGTTATAGAGTGAAATACAAATTATTTAGCCATGAACTTATCTAACTTGCTGACATCCGGGGCAATAAGTTCAGGCCTGATAATAAGCATATCTAGATCTTTTGCAATTAGAAAATTTACCAAAAGAAATTTGATTTCATTGCCCTGTGTTAAGCCCATTCCCTGACATTTACTCAGAGCTGAAATGATGTTGCTATCTTCTCTGGTCTTACTGTAACATAAATAGAGATGTTATAGGTAACAGACGTCCACCTGTTTTGTAGCTCAACTCCAGGATGTGATGAGAATTCAGCAGGAGACAAGTCATCTCCGAACCATCCTAAACCAGCTGTCTCGATTTGTGACCTCCATCACAGCCCTTACAGAGAGGCTAGCTCCTAAGTATGTGGTTTCTTAAAATGCCAAATGCCTGGCAAGTGTCATGCTTAGTTAGATATACAAGGGAGTTTTCACACACAGGATTCAACCATCCAAGAGTGCTATCCTGGTACAGTGACATTTCGAATACTGAAATTTACAAAAGGATTGTCATATAAAGTGTTTCTTAACTTGTTAAGGTTGTAAATACTTTGTGTTTTTCATGTGACTTTGTTTGCTACAAAATGATGATACACAGGTTATGCCAATTTTATTCAGCATTTAAAAAAATATGAGTCACTTCATACATATGAGTGACTGAAAATTCCAGAGCATGTTTGAACTTTATTAGGTATATCAATTCCACCAGACACAATATGCAGACATTTTCAATCTTATCTAAATGCTTTATTTTTTTAATTGTTTTGTGAAGAGTGTCTTGACCATCACCTAACAATACAGAGAAAAAGCTTGGGTTATCTCCCCTGACAGTGATTTTTAACACAATGCAGCAATGCCTTGTATGTTTGGTTTTTGTGTTATTGAACAATGTTTTAAAAGGGCATTATTGAACATACCAGATAATTAGAAGTTACCATACAAATGATTGCTCTGCAACATTTCATAAAAATATATGTTACGTTGTATGTAATTATATAAAAACTGCAAGGAATAACTGATATATTGATTGACATCAAACATTTATTTAACAGATTAGCTACCTCTTCAAAGGAAAGTAACCATGACAACCAAATAGCGGCTATCTTTGAGCAGATCAACACCATGGAGCCAGACTCTCAACACAGGTGAGTGAAAATATGAAAAAAATACTGAAATGAATGATGAAAATTTGTAATAGTAATATTGATGAACTTTCAACTTAGTAAATACTAAACCTTTTCAAAAATAAAATGATTTTCTGTTTTTTGTGTAGAGTGGAGGCTATTCGTACTGCAGAAGAGGAGAGAGAGACCCTCACAGCCAATCGTACAAACCCCATGGATGAGGAACTAATCAAAACCAAGGGGCTCTTGAGAGCACCGTCTGCACGACGAGAAGGGATCCAACGCAAGCGGGAAATGAGGGACACCAAACGAGATTCCATGGAGAAGGATTCAACTCCATCTCCATGCAGGGAATTAAATTTAACTGCATGTCTGAAAGAAATAGAAACAGCTACCAAGGACTGTAGGGGAGATATGTCAGAAATCGAAGTGAATAGAACATCAGTGACCGACTCTCCATGCAAAAACTGTTCTACAAAAACACAAGCTGATAGTCTACAGGAGAGCAATGAAGTAACAACTGTACAAGAAGTAAAAGGTGAATCAATTTTGTCTAAAGTACGAAATGAAGCTAGTCATTCAGAAAAAGAGCTAGTATCAAATACAGTATCAAAGTGTGATCCTGGGGAATCAACAGGGCATGTAGAGGCCTTAGCAGAGGCTAGTCAACCTCTAGAATCAAAGACATTGAAACCCACATCAGAATCTTGCCATATAAAATCTGACTTTACTAAGGAAGCAATACTACAAATCCAAAATGATAGTACAAATGAGAGACCATTGTCTCCAAGAAACAGTTTATTGACTAATGAGGAACCTGCTTTAAATGTTTCTGTGGAAAAGTTAGGGTCTAAAACATCACCTGCTTCTAAAGGAATATCCTGTGATGAACTGTCTGCATCATGTTTACCAGGAGGCCACCAGTTTTCAGAAATAGGAAATTTGAATTCCCCAGCCCCCTCTGATATTTCAGGGTCTGGGTCTGGATCCTTAGGGTCAGATACTCCAGTAAGTAGAGGAGGGTCTTTAGGGGATATGTCTGAGGTTGAAGGCCAGGAAGATGATATGACTGGAGGAGAGACACTCAGGGCAAGAATTGAAAGATTGAAAGTTTCAATAGACAATGGTACATCCGCTACTCAGAGTTCAAAGTCACCACAGGACAATATAGCCAAAGGATCAAGGTCACCACAAGATAGTATAGCCAAAGGGCCATGGTCACCACAGGAGAATGTGTCACATGGGTCAAGGTCACCCAGGAATAAATGCCCATTATCAAATGGCTTGTCGTCACAATTAGATGTAGATAGAGTTGCATCAAAAAAGCTCAACGATTCCTCCTGTGTTGGGAATGGAGATTTGTCCCAGAAAGGAGATGATATTTCTAGGTCTGCTGATGTTGTTAAAACAGCCGAGTCAAGTGTGCCGGAGTTAAAATCACAGACACAAGCCAGGCAAGGTAGTCAGGTAGGTGGTCGTCGTCGACGAAGAGTAAAATGTGAACAGACTGCTAATTCAGCCAAGACCAGTGGCGAAAGTCAGGAGTCAGATATGAAGGACAAGGTCACAGAGGTCAAAGGGAATAAAAGTACTTAAAGGCAATAAATTGGGTTTGGAGGAGATTATAGGTTATAGGGCTAATTAAATGTTTGACAAAATTGGATTGGATTGTTTTACTGGGAGGAAGGAATTGATGCTATTGTTAGGATAGTATGGTTTATCAGTGTAAAACAGTCATCTTGTCAATTCTTGCCCAAAGTCACTTGTAATGCCACAGCATCCTTAACTGGTAATCTCTGTTAAGTACTTATAATATGGAGGAAGACTTTTCACAGAAGTAACGATACTGTTTATTGTACTAACATTATGTACTGGGTACTTGTTATGCTTGCAATTTGGAGTGAAATAAGTTGAAACTGTCATTCCTTGTTTGATAAGTGTAGATCTTCTAATATTGGTATCCACCGACTTATACAAGAAAACATGCCTCAGATTGACTTTTGACTGTTTATAAGGCCATAAACTTAATATTCAGATCTCTTGATATTTACTGTGATGATAGTGTGACTTCATCAGCATAATTTCATTTTTCAATAAATTTTTATGATTTTTGTTGTCGGATGTAAACGGTTATGTTTATTTCATGTATATACCATATATACATTGTATATATATATATATATATATATATATATATATATATATATATATATATCTTTTGGATAGCCCTGATTTTCCTTGACTAATGAATCATGATACATGTATGCTGTGCATACAGATATGGCTTTTTATATTTATACCAATGTTTTTTTATAAAATAATTATTGTTTACTATGCAAACAGGGTTGTTTATACAAATTTGTCTATTGTGATATATGTACCAGTTATGGATAAACAAACAAATCAAAGCTCTATTTTGTTGTCACCATTTTCAAAGTCCCTGCATGGCCAAATCAACTTACTAAAGCTATATTATATATATTTTGTAAGATTTTTCCTGAGCACTGTTATCAAATGCTGTATTTCAGCTTTCTTGTTTAAGAAACATGACTCTTTGCTGAATATGAATTACTTGTTAATATTAAAGAAAGGTATTTAATAATTTTATGATTGTGATCATATTTATATAATATATGCATGTAAGAAATGAGAAATTAAGTAATTCAAATCTGCTTTTTTATGATTGTTTCATGTCCATGGCATTTGAATATAGCTAAGAATAACATAGTTTGTAGATTTGTTAAATGATAACAGAAATAGTTGGGTTCAGGGAAGGTAAATATATTTAGTAGTAGTGGGGTATCAGTAATAACAAAATCCACGGAAAATTTCCAAAAATCTTTGTAAGTCAATTTTAATTGTTTAAAGTCAAAGGGAAGTAAAATATTTATAACTTTAATTTTAGAATTCGGCTGAGAATCACGTAGAAGGTTATACCTGACCTACTTGTAGTTTACTAATAGAGAGGAATGTCGGTAATTACAACATTCTGTAAAAATTTTCGATGATCTTCAGTAATCAGATTTAGAAAAAACCCAAAGATAGTGTGATCTGTCTGGCGGAAAATCTTCAAAAAGTATTTGTAGTCTTCCAGAGATGTTCAAAAGCAACAATCAAAGTTAATGGTAGCGTTAAATTTTTATCAAGTTTTTTATTCTGTAGATTGGTGGGAGTTTCCCCAAAATGTTGTTATTGGAGTTAAGGTTTTCTAACTGTTAATTATTCCGTCCTTTTGTGTATCTTTTTTTGTGTCTGTACAGCTTATTTAGTTCAGTCGCTTTTTTAAACTACTTGAACAAAAACCATGATAATGTACTGTACAGAAAATTTTTTATTTTACAATAAGGTTATTATCGATTGGTTATATATGGAAGTTATACAACAAAATATAAGGTTGTTTGACTCGTTTGTACCACAATTCAAGATCAGAGAGCTATTCTGACAAGGAATTGATCTGTTCTGTGTTGTGTTTACAAAGTGACAGTTTCAGAAATATGTGAAAAATTTATTTATTTCAAATTATGAGAAGTAATTAACACTTTTATTATCTTCAAAACAATAAATTGCAAAAAAAACCTTTAAAAATCAAATTTATTCAAAAGCAATTGCAAACGTTTTATTTTAAAGTAAACATTCTGCAGGTGCGTGGAATGCCTTCAGGTCAAAATTCGTGATGTCAATCAGTCAAAACATTTTCACAGTTAATTCCACGTTTGGTATAAATATTTGTTTATACATCAGTTGAAATGATTAATTGATGACTGAGTTGAATAACATACACTTATTGCACTAGAAAGGTCATTATTTCTATATATTTTATAATATTTCTATATAATTTATAGGATTTTAAGAAAAACTTCCAGAATGGATCAAAATTTTGATAAAAACTATAGTAGAAACAGATTTCGTACATGTATATAGACTCTTTCCATACTAATATCCCAGAGTTACTTCCCTCCCTTCTTTACACTATATCAGTCTCAGATATAAGCTTAACAGCCGATGAGGGCAGTGAATGAACTATTTCTGGGTTTCCACTAAAAAAACCCTCCTTTTTGCTTCAAAGATTCTTTAACACCTCGAAAATCTGAATGATTAAAAATCATTGCAGTATAAAGGTGTGTTTTACATTAATTGCATGCAAACCATATCTCAGTTTTTTGTATTTGAATTCAATTTGTACATTGTCAGAGTATGCCACTACAGGTACACTGTATATGTGCATTGTATTTGGATCCTATTACATGTAATTGAGAAACACAAACACCACTGTGAAAAATAAAGTAAATATGATGTATTTTCAATATGATATTTTTTGCTCTATTTATTGAAACGAAAACATGCAAAATGTGTCTGACTTTATATACAAGAAGTGATAAAATTCTAGTCATTTATTTATATTTTTACATATTGTAATAATTGATCCATAACTTTCCATGTCTTTATGCTATTTGTATTTCCCCCTTATTTTAAGGGTCTATTTGCTATGAATAAAGATGATTTTTAAATTCTGCAGGAAAACTTAATATGAATATGTTGTTTATTACTGAATGTAAGGTCACCTGCTCCAAAGAACCGATGAACTTATGCCATGGCGTGGTGTCTGGCATCCGTCTATCATCTTTTTCTAAAAATTGCTACTAGTCATGAACAGCTGAGCAGATCTTTACCAAACTTGGTCAGAAGCAACCTTAGGGAAGGGGACTCAATTTTGTATTAATGTGGGTTTGATTTTTGTATCAGTTTTGGTCTGAGGGATGCTCAGAGAATTGGGACTATTTATTAGCTCACCTGGTCAGAAGGACCATGCTATGGTTCGTCCGTTGTCTGTCATCCCTCAATCATCTTTTTCTAAAACCGAGCGGATTTTGACCAAACTTGAATAGAAGCATCAGTGGGAGAAGGGATATAATTTTGTATTAATGATGGAGCTAGTTTTATCTGTTACTTTCAGTTATTGCCAATGTCCTTAACAGTGTTAAACTTTCTCTTGATTGACATTAATGTTTTGAGTGTGGTGCATGTTACTAACGAACGATGTTTTTCTGTCACATTTTGGTGAATAGTAATTTGTTTTGCTCACCTGGTCCAAGGGTTTGTATTGAATGTCTGTGGCACCAAAAAGCAAAACCAATATCAAAAAAAGAAGTTGCAGGTATACCATCGTAATGTAACCATTAGTTGCTCTTGGGAACTATTTCTGAGGATCCTTTGGGTGTTGATTGACAAGAATTGATTTCATACTCATATCCATTTAAACATATATGCCGTAGCTCATTATATAGACATATGTTCAGGATGAAAAAAAAAATCAAAACGTGCTACGAAACACCATAGCCCCGGTTGCAACAAAATTAAAATCTAATGGTGAATGATACCAACTAAAAGGTCTTGTCACAAGGAACACACATGCCAAATATGAAATCCCTACCTCTTACGGTCAATAGTTATGGGCAAGGTTAAATTTGGCAACAGAAAAACAAACCAAACAGAGAGCACAAAAAACAATATGATCTTGAGATCCGGAGGCATAAAAAATGAAAGAAAAAAATGTTATTTAAGCAGTCATTTTATTTGAACACAGTTGCCTATATACATCATAGATAAAGCATGTATTCGGCGATAAAGTAAAAAAAAAACCGTGTAGTTTATATTACTCTTTTTCCATCAACATGACAAAGTATGCAGTATAGTGGTCGAAACACTTAATTATTATGCAAAGCATGAATTTGACGTCCAACACTGTCCCACTTACAACCTGCATGCATGTTAAGATTTGTGCAGTCACAATTTTTAGATATTTTAAGATTTGAATTATAACACAACCCCGTCAAAAAAGTTACAAAAATGCACGATAGGATAGAGGCACCCATCTATAAACATTTAAAACAGTAACATGGTCATGGGTCTTGGTGACAACACAATTTTAGAATGGATGAAACATAAAGCTGTAAGTGTATCTTGATATGGGCGAATGACTACATTACAGAAAAAAAAGTTATCGGCCTTGGTACTAATTTATCATCGCATAAGAAATAAAGTTGCATGTACCGTGAGAGTGTTTATTTACTCCACTCTTTATAATGAAATATACAATTCTGTAATACAGTAGATACTGTTACATTCCGTGTTTTCATTAAGTCTGAATTATCTGATAGCAAAATGTCTGTATTTAAATCAAAATCTTAGGTAAGTATCAAAGTTTTGTGGAATTCTGTAGTTTTCGTACATTAAAAATTTAACATTATCCCCTATATATCCTCATGTACAAAAATGACTCCCTCTGAGGTTTATGTCAGATAAGTGTTGACATCGCTACAGTGTAAACAAAGTCTAGTATGAAGTATTTGTTTAAATTGTTTAAATGTTCAGAGGTTGGTTGTTTCTAACCTCTGCAGGTATAGAGTTCCATAAAACAACAGTTGATGGCAAATGCTTTATAACAACAAACTTTGGAAATATCTTATCAAAATGAATCATTTCTTCCTGCTTGTGTATGAACATGTTCTATTCATTTCAATACATTGGCAAGACAACCCCAAAAAATATCGGCATAGTTCGAGTAACATACTCCATAAATTTGGCAAAATTGAAGAAGCATTTCTTTTTAAACATTTTCTGAGTTCTAAAGAGTATCGGTAAATTGTGCCAATATTAACCGCTAACTGAATTCAATCAATACTATATTTGACCTTCCTAGTATAAAATCAAATTGTAGATATGTTCTTAATTCCAAGTATGTAAAAGATAATTATAGAATTTTATAAACTCAACATATATATCTCCAGATACCAGGCATTAGGTATTAAAGCGAGTGTCATATGTGTTCTTGAAGCTTCCTCTCCGAATGCGTCGCCCTTAACTACAAAACGGATATTGCTCCACTCGGTTGTTGCTTTTATGTTATCTAGACACCGAGAACATTTTCAAAGTAGACCCGGTCCTCCAACTGATAGTTTTACTTGTCATTCTCGTTTTTCTGGATTCGTCTTTCAAAACAATAGATCTGAATCGGATGTAGCAGTGAGATGATGGACAAACAGAGGAGACATATGTTTACCTGGTAACGAAAGGAAATGTGTTAGAATATGTATCAAAATAGTACTGCATTAAAGTTTAACTGTAAAAAGTAGAAGACATATAATTTTACTGTAAAGAGCTCGCATGGAGACATATTGAAGTTTAACTGTA